ATGTTCTCCTGGTTCTGCTTACTTCACTCAGCATCAGTTCATGTAACAGACCCAAGACTCCTTCCACTGGATCCGTGCTTCATTGTCAAGTGTCTACCGATAGCCAAGATGCTTCTACTTTCACCACATGCCCCCTTTCCAAACCCTGCTCCTACCGTGTGTGTGTGTGTGTGTGTGTGTCTACATGCATATAGTCCTAGTCTTTTCTGTAGCATTTCACACTGTTGACCATACAACCTTCTATATATTCTCTCCTCCTTGGAGGCATTGCTCTCTCTGGGCTTTTTTCCTTACTTAAAATATTACTTTAAAATGTTCATTGAATGTAATTGAATTGTGGGTGTTCCCTTCAATGGAACCAGTCACAACCCTATCATACTTTGACAGTCTTTGTGAATTGCTATGGCTGGAATTAGTGGTCAACTGTCTGGCAATTTTCCTGTCTACAGCGTATAAACATCTGGAAATCTCTATTAACCCCTGAGCCAGACCAAAACCTTGATCGTCTGACTGTACTTCAAGTTCACAGTCTCCGTGACCTTTAACAGCTAAGTTCTAGTGACTTCCTTCTGGCCCAGAAAAGGTCTTAGGGTGGGGCATTGGCTCAAAGAGTGGTCAAGTCAATTTGCAAACATTAGCAAGCATTTACTGTGTGCCAGGAACTATGTTTGTTGGTAAATAAGGGAAGATACAAAGTTTAGCTCGTGGATTTTATAGTCTAGCAAGGGCGTATCAAATGTCCTAAAGTGGAATGAACTGCCTTAGAAGGTAGTGGATTCCATGCTATGGGAGAGGCTAGATGACCACTTGGTAGGGATGCTGGAGACAGAGGTAGAGACAGAGAGACAGAAACTGTGACAGACACAGAGAGAGATAGAGACAGAGATAAGCAAATATTGTAGAGAGGGATTCCTCTAGGGGTTAATCTTCGAGCGTCTATGAGAACACAATACCGATAACTACAATAGACAATATTACATAAATGCATTAGAGAAGTACAAGGAGATGTAAAGTGAAAAAGCCTTTATCTACAGAAATATCATGTGTACTTAAGTACTCAAGGCTGCAGTTGCTGCATATCTTGTCATCTCCATGGCTCTTGCTTCTGGGTACAGACTTTTAATTTTCAGATAGTAGAAATCGATGGGGACATATGGTGAACACAATACCTTAGAATACACAACACTCTCTTTCCCCCTACAATTTTTCTAGGCAGAGGAGTGTAGGGGGAGGGGAACATGAGGGACATGTCTAAGAACCCCACTTTCTCACTCAGCATGGCTCTGCCACACCCACAGATGTCATCTAGCCTTACCCTCAAACTTCCATATGCAGAAATCATGACTGATCTCCCCAAAACACACCAGTAGAATTCCCTTTGTCTGATTTCCTTAGGTAGGATGGCTACTGCAGCCCCAAACAGAAATGGCAATGCAGTCATGTGTGGTGGGAGCAATATCCTACCCACCCACCCACCTCTTGTAAGTTAGGTTAGTTTCCCCTTAAAAGGGATCAAAACCATCCTTTAGGCTTGACTGGCTTAGGGGGACTAATGATTCTGGTTATTGACCTACCTTCTTGGTTATCTTAACACAAATCAGCTCCGAGGTCCTGTGTGATGACTGTCAGACCATGATGGGCAATTCAAAGTCAGGGAAGCTTTGCTTAGCTGATTCAAGTCCAGATGTCCTTAGTGTATATCTTGGTTAAATATTCTTCCGCTAAGACTAAGTAAAATTCTTTTGGCTAACCTTTGAATTACCTGCACATGTCTCATTTTACTCTGAAATCAATCACAAACTACCAGGTCACTAGCCTGAGTCAGGCTGGGCCCAGAACACCATGAGAGACCTGTGATCAATAGCCATAGCAGGGCAGGAGCCTTGTAGCTATGGACAACTTACCTGCATTATTCTTCATTTCCATGCCTCACCATACTTCTCTCCCCCCAATCCCACCTCCTTTCTGATGCTGACCCTTGACTTCTGATTGCCTAGTAACAGTAATAATGCATGGAAGCTTGTATTAATAAACAAATTAATTAATGCAATAATCATGGCATCATGGAAAGAGAACTGGCCTTAGAGCCAGGAAGACCCAAGTGGAAGTCTCACCTCTGATACATACCAGCTCTGTGACCTTGGGCAAATCATTTAACCCCAGGCAACAAGGACAGCTAGGTGGCCCAATGAAGGGAATGCTGACCTAGAGTCAGGAAGACCTGAGTTCAAATCCAGACTCAGACATTTCCTAGCTGTGTGACCATGGGCAAGTCACTTCACCCTGTTTGCCTCAGTTTCCTCATCTGTAAAATGAGCTGGAGAAGGAAATGGTAAACTGCTCAAGTATCTTTGCCAAGAAAACCCCAATGGGGTCAGGAAGAGTCTGAAACAAATGAACAACTCTCTAAGACTCTAAGTTGGGAAGAAAGTGCTAACTTGAATGGATAGAGGCAATTCCCTATGGGAATTCCCTATACCAAAGAAATAACAGATCTTGGCCCCAACTCCCTCCTCCTAGTAACAATAAATCATTTAAATTTAAATCATTAAACTTAAAACATATAGTATATTGAATTATAATATAAATAAATAAAATATAAAAATAATATGTTTGTAAATTAAATTAAAATTTGTAAGCTTTACAAAGTGATTTCATGACAGTCTTGGGAGGTGGGCAGATAGGTCATATAGGCATTATTGTTCTCACTTCACATCTGAGGAAATACGTTCAGAGAAGCTCTTTAACTTAACTAGTTTCATGACTTGCCTAGGGTTGTGTATGGAGGAAGTGTTGGAGCATGCAGATAGACCCTTCACTCTCCATTTTTCATGTAGCAGCTAGGTGGCGCAGTGGATATAGAGCACTGGGCCTGGGATTAGGAAGACCTGAGTTCAAATGCAGCCTCAGACACTTCACTAGCTGTGTGACCCTAGGCAAGTCACTTAACTTCTTTCTGCCTTGGTTTCCTGATCTGTAAAATGTGGATCATAATAGCCTCTACCTTCCAGGGTTGTGGTGAGGATTAAATGAGATTAATATATGTAAAATGCTTTGCAAACCATAAAGAGCTATATTAATGCTAGCTATGCTCATAGCTGCTCAAGCCGTCCCCCATGGCCAGAATGTCTTTTTTTTTTCTTCCTTTCTTTTCTTTTGGCCTCTTTCTACCCTTCCTTTAAAGTACAAATGATCCCTCCTCTAGAGAACTTTCCCCATATCAGGATATTTCTCCTCAGACCTCAGATAGGCCATCCCTAACACACTTACCATTATGCATTTTAGTTATTTGTGTTGATGCCTTATCCCTCTGTTAGGCTGTAAGACTTCATGAGGTCAGGGACCATATTTCACTTAACCTTTGTATCTCCCTCAGCGCCAAGCACAGTGTGGTCCTGCATAGGCAGTCACTTCATAAGTGTTTGTTGAATGAATGAATGAATGAGTGATCCAAAGTGCATTGTCTTTTTCAAGATTCCACTCTCTTCCTCCACCCCACTTGCCCAGAAACCAAGCATCAACACCTGTGCCAGGAGACTAGAATCTGTAAATTACAGCCTACAGAGCTGGACTTTGGATCCTGGCAAAATGTTACACTATTTTTAAAAATAAGTTTTTAGAATGCCTTTTTAAAGTATCACAGTCATTTCCAGATATTACTACCACTACATAGCCTCTCCATGCCCCCCCCAGTTCATTTTGCCCCTGTTAAAAAAAAGAAAGAAAGAAAAGAAAAACAGTTAAGTGAAAACAACTAAAACAGACTATCTGACAATGTATATCAACATTATGTAGTCCTCTGCCACTGGGGAGAAGAGGGCGGAGATTTAATTATGTTTTCTTAGACTAAAATGTCATGCTGGCTAGAAATTACTTAGAAAAGGAAACACAATCACAAAAAGCCAGAAGGATTTCATTAAGAATAGGTCATGCCCAAACTGACTAATGCCACGAAAAGTGGGACATGACTGAAACATCTCAACAACATGTTATGTGTTGGGTTTTTTTTTTGAGAGCCATTTGTTAAACGTTTACTAGCACATCACTGGGTTCAAATGTTGTCTTTTCTAAGAAACTTTCCTGATGCCCCTAATTGTTTATGTTTCCTCTCTCAAAAATTTATTTTGTATTTATTGCATTTAGCTGTCTGTGCACACGGATACATAGGCTCCTGCAGAGCAGGAATTGCTTCCATTTTTTGGGCTTTGTATGCGCAGTCTTTAGCGCGGTGCCTGACACTCGTGGCAAGTGCTGGTTGAATTAGCCTGAATTGAAGAAGTAGAGCGGTCTCTATGTACGAGGGATTCTCAAAATCTTTTTAGTCTTAGGACCCCTTTACTCTCTCACAAATTGAGCACCTCTTACCAAACAAAGGGCTTTTGTTTATGTCGGTTAGATCTATTGATATTTACCCTAGTAGGAATTAAAATGTATTAGTATTATTATGAAAATAGTTTTGACCTCACAGATCTCCTGAAAGGGTTCGGGGAACCCTAGGAGTGCCCGGACCGCGCTTGGAGAACCGTTGCTTTCTACAAATCCGGGCTAGTAGATTTACAGAAAGCTCAGGCTGGAACAGCTCTCAGAGGCCAATCAGGTCCGCCTCTCTAATTTTTCAGATGAAGAAACGGAGGCCCAGAGAGGGAAGGAGACTTGTCCCCAAGGTCACATCGGTAGAAGGTGGCAGAGCCAAACGGAGGCGGCCTAGCTAGGGATGAAGAGGAGGGGTTTTGGGCAGCGGGCAGCGCCGGAGACCATCACGAGAGGGAATGGGCTGTGTCCATTTCGGTCTCCCCAGCAGAGGGCCAGACCCTCCCTCCCGCTCCCCACTCCAGTCTCTTCCTCCTCCTCTCCTCCCCTCCCCTCCTCTTCTCCTCCCTTCTGCCCCAGCTAAGGCAGGTGGGAGGAGCGAGCGCCGGGAGCTCCCGGAGGGCGTGGTCCCCCTGCTGTCCACGCCCCCTCCGCCTCTCGTCCCTACCCCGGGCTGGGCGGGGCCGACGGGAGCGGAGCCGTGGCCGCCCCGAGCCCGTCACTTCCTGCCCCCGGGCCGGGGCCGCTTCCCCTTTAAGGGCTAGGGGCGCTGCGGCGGCTGCGGCAGCTGCTCGCTATGGTGGTGGTGAAAAGCCTGGAGGGCAGCTCGGCCGAGGCGGCGGCGACCGTGACCGTAACCATGACCCCGGCTGCGGCTCCTGCGGCGGACGGGGGCGGAGGAGCAGGAGCAGCGGCGGCGGCCCCCCCCGGAGCGCCGCCGGGCGGGGAGCCCTACCTGTGAGCGCCGGGGCCCAGGCCCCACCGAGCCCACCCTACCCCATGCCACGCCACGCGTAACACCCCTGCCGGGCTCGGGTCCGCTCTGACCCCGGAATCGAGCCTTGGGCGGGCGCTGGTCCTTTCTGTCCCTCTGATCTGAGTATTTAACTGTAGGCTGACTCGGGTCTTCTCTGACCCCGAGATCGAGCCTCGGGCGGAATCTGGTCCTTTCTTGTCCCACTGACTTGAGTAGTTAACCACTGGCAGGCTCGGGTCCGCTCTGACCCCGGGATCTAGTCTCGGGCAGGCTCTGGTCCTTTCTGCCCGCTGATCTGAGTATTTAACTACAGGCTGGTTGCGACCCAGGATTTAGCTCAGGTCCACTCGGTCCCTAAGATTCTGTCCCCTTTCCTTTGCTCTCCCCTCCTCCCACTTTGGTTCCTGGCTCTTCTGGCTTTTGGGTTTGCTCTGGAGCCCCCCTCTAACCGCAGCTCTGCTCTGGTCCTCTCTGACCCGTTGACTCTTATTTTCTCCACCTGTCTCCAGCCCTGCCGACTTTAGGAGTTACCCTCAGGCTAAGTGGACTCCTTTGATCCTGGGAGGTCCTTTGTTGGGCTCTGGTCCCCTCTAGGGCAGGTCCCTTCTGCCCCTCTGGTCTAAGATTTAGCCTTCAGCCTGTCTCTGCCTCCCTCTGCTACCTAGATTTACCGGTGCATGACTCTTTCTTGTCTTACCCAGGTATTTACTCATCGCGTAAATAAACGTCCTTCCTCTAGTCTGGGCATGGCCTGGACCTTGGTCCACCTGGACTTGAACCCTGGGGACGGTTTCTTTGATCCCCACCCGCCCAGGTGTCACCATCACACCTCTCTGAGCATGAGGAGGGGTGGCTGGGAGGTTTCTGTCCTGCTCCTAGGCCAATTTCTTCTTCTCTTTTCAAATCTCTCCCTCTCACTCAGCCCAACCACACTTAACCCTGCTTCCTTCCTCTCAAACACCTCCTGCCTCCTGGGATCCCACCGATTCTTCTCTACCTGAGGCCTGTTTTCATCCATCCATGGCTAAAGTAGAAAGCCACGGAAGGTCAGAGCTGGGTGGGGGGGGTGAAGAGGGGGGAAGGGATGGCTTAGAACATGGAAGCTCCCAGGCAGGGAACCCTTAGAACACAGAACATGGAACATCGCAGCTGGAAGGGACCTTTGACATAATATAAACCCCAGGGGTTCTCTTAATCTGTTGTCTGCCCTGGACCCCTTTGGTAGTCACTCTGGTATGGTCTTTGTGTGGGCTGTCCTATGTTCTCAAAGAGGACCAGGACCTCGGGGAGATGATGACTTGATTTGCATTGAATTGGATTTAAATGAGACAAGGCTGTGCAAAATCACCAGCCTCACTTTCTCCTCCGGAGTCATCTGGGTCCAGTGGCCAGATAGAGATCAGGATGACAGGACAGGGACCGGCTATGGTCTTTGAACTCTTTCTCAGAGTCATGTCTTTAAATGCATAAAATAAAATGTCTAGGATTACAAAGGAAAACTAATTATATTTTAAATATAGTCATCAAAAGTGTTTTTTTTTTTAAGTTCTCAGACCCCAGGTCTAGTCTGGCCCCCTGGTTTTTACAGTTGAGGACACTGAGGCCCAGAGAATGGAAGGGATTTGTCCAAGGTCCTATTGATGGACTTTAGTTTGTAACGTGATTGAAAGCCTTGGGCCTCTTGGCTATCTCCTCCAGAGGTTCCTGTGGGAAAGGTGGAGTGTGTCAGCCGTGAGCCTGGCCTCTGGAGAGTGGGTGCTGCATAGGGAGAAGGAGCCTCAGGGCCTCTTGGGGGAATGTGGAGGTATATCAGAGGTTGACCGGTTGGGCCCTGAGGTGCTCAGATTAAAATGGTGCCTGTAAAGTGGGGGTTTAGGAGGCAAGGGATCTTGGGTGAGAGTCGGGGTTTCCTGATTGCTCATCTGTACATTGGGACAGGCAGTCTTTGTAAGGAGTTTGGAATTCAAAAGGGGTGTGGGGGGGGCAGAGAGGGTTTGATTTATGCTTGGACTTGGCTTTGAAAGGTCCTGTGTCAAGGGACTGAGTCCAGTGCATCGGGGAGATCTCGGAAGAGATTGATTTCTAGGAAATACACACCACCAGACCTTACTTCTGTAGGGTCCCTGATAAGCTTCTGTGGCTTCCAGGGCTGTGGTGTGAAGCAGCTAGGATTACATTAAAGTTAGCCAACCGCCAGGAGCCCTGTCCAGTGCTGGGGAGGCACGTTACTAGCCCCTTTAATTATCTTTCTGTTTGTACCTCTGTTCCTAAAGATGATTGTTCGCCTGGGTCTCTGCCCCTGGACAGCTCTTGCTAATGGTTCTGAATTGTAGGCTCAGCCCTTTGGCTAAAGGAACACAAACAGAGCTTCTGAAATGACTTAACCAGCTTCCTGGCACCGGCAGCAGTATCTTTTCTTAGGGCCCAGGATATGCCAAGTTTTTACCTCCTGGAAAGTTTTCCTTGTCCATTTCCAGGGCTGGGAGTCACAGCTCTCCTACCCAGTGTGCGTTGCTGGACAGAAGTCACTTTTCTAGTATTATTTTTTGACAGCTGGTAAGGACTGCCCAGGTCATACAGCCTCCTCCCCACCCCCTCCCCCCCTTTTTTTTTTTACCAGTGAGGAAACTCACAGGGGTTGATTTGCCTCACTCTATTTATTTGACAGTAAATAGCATAAATAGGAATCAGATTCTTACTCCCAGCCTGGGACTGCTTCCACTTGTATGGCTGGAACTCTTCCAATGACAAGCTAATTGACTCACCCAGATATCACTGCTTGTTGATTGACTAGTAGAGGGACTGGAATGAAGAATTGCAGTGAGGGGGCAGAAGGCTGGGTTTCCAAAGGAGTTGAGGCTGAGGTCTTCAGAGTTAGAACTCGGGGATGGTTTCCTTCTGGGATCACCCCCCAGCCTGAAACCTTCAGAGCTAGAAGACTGCTTTGGAGCAGACAAGCCATTCTGTCTTTTTTTTTTTGTTATCGTGGTGGTGGTTCATACATATATGGGCCTAGACAGCTCCCATTTCCCAGAGGAAAGCTCTGCTTTCCTGAGTTTATGTTCATCTTTTAGGCCCTCAGGCCTACTCTGATGACTCTTCCTCTTCCTCTTCCTCTTCCTACCTTCTCTCGAAGTGTATCCGGAGCCTGGGTTGGGGGGCTTTTTAGAGGCCTCTCTCTAGGTGGCACATTGGATAGAACACTGGATGGGAGTCAGGAAGTCCAGATTCTTATTAGCTGTGACCCTGGGCAAACCACTTTACCTTTGTTTGCCTCATTTTCCTTATCTGTAAAATTACAATAATAATAGCTCTTATCTTGCAGGGATCAAACAGTAGTCCTTCCATAAACCTCAGAGTTCATTATTATTATTGTTATTATTATCCCTGGGCCCTAAAGCTCTGCTATGATCCTTGGCACAAGAGATATTATTTGGGCATCTCTGGTCGGGAAGTCTTCTGTTCCCCATCCCCCTCGAATACGCTCACCCAGTGTTTAAATAACACACAGTGTCTGCCCTTAGGGAGCCCACTGTCTTGGGCTAGGATAGCAATACAAGATATTTTGAGCTAGGCTCAATGGATGAGATTTCTGGTCTGGGGGAAGAAGCAGTCCTTCCAGGAAACAGCCTGAGCCAGGCACAGAGTTGGGAAAGCACGAGGTAGGGGCACAATCCAACATGGCGGTGGCCCAGGAGGGAAGTCATTTTAATGACGCTGGAGGAGGGTAGCTCCAGATTTTGAAGGGCCTTCAATGCCAGGCAGAGGAGTTTGACCTTGACTCTGTAGGGAGCCACTGAAGGGGTTTTGAGTAGAGCCAAGCAGTTGGTCCATTAGTTCTTATTGAGCACCTCCTATGTGCCAGGCACTGTGCTAAGTGCCGGGGATGCAAGGAAAGGCAAAAACAGCCCCTGCATTCAAGGAGGCCATAGGCTAAGGGGGGGAGACAAGATGCACATAAAAGAAGGCCAGGGGAAGAGTCTTGGGTTTCTCCTGAAGAGATCTGGAATTGGGCAGGGAGCTAAAGAAAGAGACAGAGAAGGGGGTAACGGGAAAACCAGGGAGTGGGGTGTGTCGTGAGCCAGATGGTCAGAGAGCCGCCAGATGAAGGCGGTGCTGGCCGAAGTAGCAGGGAGGTAAAGAGAAAAGGCATTTGGACTTCATGATATAGGAGGGTCCTAGTGACTTTGGAGAAAGTAGTTGTAGGAAAAGTCTGGGGACACTTGGAGGCAAAGCCCTTAGGGCATTGGATGAGGAGTTCAGATTCTGCCCCATACTCTATCTCTGTGGCATTGGGCTGAGCCTCAGTTTCCTCATATGTAAGGTGAAGGGGTTGGATTTTCAGCTCTCTGGTTCTACTCTGCCATCTCTTTGTCCCTGAGGCAATAAGAAAAGTTTTCAGAAAGTTAAGGGAAATGTGGGTGGTAAAGATCTATAAGATGTCAGAGGACGTGGTCTCTGAGGTCCCTCCCCTCAACTAGGAAATGCTTGGATTTCACCAACAACTTTTTAGAAAAGTTTTTAGTGGAAAAGGGGGAAGAGAGAGATGACAGCAGGACAGATAGGAAGAGTCAAGGTAAGTTCTTTGGTTTTTTTTAAGAATAAGGGTGATGGGAGCCTATTGGTGAGCAGATGAGTGCACTTGGAGAGACAGACAGACAGAGACAGAGACAGAGGTAGACAGAGACTGGCAGAGAGAGAGAGAGAGAGAGAGAGAGAAGGAACTTGAGGAGAACCAGCAGAATGTGGTAATCAAGAGAGGGAGAAGGGGAAGATGCATGAGAGAGGTAGGGGATGACCTTGGAGCAGGTCCTGGAGAAAGGGGAAGGAGCAGAATTGGGAGGAGGGACAGATGGAGACAGAGATGAGTCCCAGTGAGGAGGAGGGATCCCTCTTCTGTGACCAGAGGGAAGGTGGAGGGAGTAGGTGATGATGCTGGGGAGTTTTGAGGGGCTTTCCTTTGGATGGCCTCAAGTCTTGGGGAAAGAGGAGAGGTCATGGACCCTAAGATTGGGGGATTTGACAATAAAGACCATGGCTAACATTGATATAGCACTTTAAGGTTTGCAAAGTGCTTTTCAAATATCCCCTCATTTGATCCTTCCAACCTTGGGAGATAGGTGCTGTTAGTCCATTTTCCAGTTGAGGAAACTGAGGCCAAGAACGATTAAGGGACTTGCCCTGGGTCACCTAGCTAGACAGTGTCCTCAGTGGGATTTGAGGTTGGCTCTCTCTGACTCCAAGGCTCATGTTTTGTCTATAGACCCCTGAGTTGCCTGTTAAGGGGAATGTTTGGATTCCTAAAAAGAGAGGAGAGGAAAAGATTTGGGACAGTTTGTGGGGAGTGGGTATGAGTAGGAGGATAATGAGGAAGTGAGGTGTAGTAGATGGAATGCTGGACTGGACAGTCAGGGACACTTGGATTAGCATGCCCTTCCCCCATCCTTTCATTATTGATTTTTTAACCCTTGGCTAATTTACTGACCTGTTTTTAGGTTCGTCTTTCCCATCTCCACAGCGTCCTAAAAGTCATAGGGCAATATTAAGCTTTAATGGCTTAAAATTTTAACCTTTAATAGCTGAAAATTACCCCCCCCCAGACTTTTGGGACCCCCCATTTATAGATAGAGCCTAGACCTGTGATTCCCTCCATATGGGGAATTCCCATGTGAGGAAATTCCCTGTACCAGTAGAGGCTAGCACCATCTCTGCAGTTTATAATCTTTGTGAATTGCCTGGGGTATAGACAAGTTAAATGACTTACCCAGGGTCACATATCCAATATGTGTCAGATATGGGACTTGAACGCAGGACCAGCTTTCTAGGGAGCTCAGTGGTGAAGTAGATAAAGTGCTGGGCCTAGAGTCAGGAAGACCTGACTTCAAATCCAGCCTCAGATGCTAGCTGTATGACCCTGGCCAAGTTATGGTAATTTCTCATTGATTCAGTTTCCTCATGTGTAAAAATGGGGGTAATGATAGCTCTTACTTCCCAGGGTAGTTGTGAGGACAAAGGAGACCATATTTGTAAAAAACGCTTACTACAGTGGCTAGTATATAGTCTGTTAATATTTAGTCGTATCAGTCATGTCCAACTTTTCCTGACGGGGTTTTCTTGACAAAGATACTGGAGTGGTACAGATGGGAAACTGAGGCAAACAGGGTTAAGTGACTTACCCAGGGTCACACAACTAATAAGTATCAAAGGCTGGATTTGAACTCAGGTCTTCCTGATTCCAGGCCCTTCCTCAGAATAGTGTTTTTAAATGCATTTTTAAAATACATAAGATTACAAACGAAACGAATTGTATTGAAATGCAGTTGTCAAACCTTTTTTTTTTAAATTTCTTGGACCACATGTTGGGCACCTCTGAGTTGACAGTGTTGGGCGGGATCTGAACCTTGGCCTTCCTGATCCCAGGTCTAGCTTTTGGTCTACCTCCTGCTTTATGTAGTCCAGCCCTGCCCCCCTTATTTCGTAGGAGAGGGAGATGAGGCCCAAGGTTAAACAATTTGCCAAAGATCACACAGGTGGTATCCGGGCTGGGTTTGAACTTGGGTTCATCCACCTCCAAATCTAGATTCTTTCTCTTCCATTGGCTAGTAAGATTTCCAAGTTTAAGATGTGCGCAGGGACTCGGTTACCCAGGCAGGACTAGGATGCCCCTCTCCTGCTGCCCAGCCCCAGTCCTTCTCTGCCTCCCATGAGCTTTTCCTGGCTCTGTGGTCTGGGCAAGACACTTGACCTCCCAAGGCCTTTGAAATGAGGATGGTTTGGTACACAGACTTCCTGGCCTTCAGCCGTCTGGGGGCAGGGGCCCCCAGAATGGGGAGAATTTGACTTGTTTACATCTGGGGCCCCGAACCATCTTCCTCTCTTTTGGGCCCTCCCTGATCCCACAGGGACTCTTGGGGGTGATTCAGCTCCTTTTATCTCTTCAGCTCAGGGTAGTTGTGGCTTGGACTCAGTCCAGCTAGCATCAGAGTCCCTGCTGGAGGCTGAATGGGGCAAGGGAAATGTCACAGGGCCTTAATAGGGTGATGTTGTGAGGGAAGGTGGGGTCTCCAGGCCAGGAGAGTTCTCTCTCTGGTAACTTCCTGCAACTTGCTGCTGTTAAAATGGAAATGTATTATTTAGTGTATGAGGCTTCAAAAGTGATTTCCTCATGGTAGCATTTCAAGGCAAATACTGGAAGCTTGGGCAATTCCCCTCTTAGAGGTGAAGAACCAGGCCCCAGAGAGGTCAGGGGACTTGTCCAGGGTCACACAGCCAGTAAGTGGTAGAGCTGGGATTCTATGCACTTCAAGGGCTCTGATAGCTCTCTTAATGAAGGGCCTGAGGAGTGGGAGCACGTTGTTAATAACTGAGATTTTAAAATGATAAAGCATTATGATCTTTGCAAGTCCCTTAGACTCAGGAGTCATTAGGAGCTGTGTCCAAGATCATAGCTTCAGAGTGGGGGTGGTCTGCTCTCCACTGCACCCACCCGTCAGAGCCTGGAGCATCTGGGAAGCTGAGGGTGTCAGAGCTGGGAGGGTACTGGGAACACAGAATGTCAGATGAGGAAACTGAGACCCAGAAAGGGGAAGTGATTCCACCCCAGAGTGACCCGCGGCAGTGAAAAGCCCTCTCCTTCAGGAGTCTTTCCACTTGCCTCCCGGTCATTTCCCCTTGTGTCCCGTTGTGGGGCTTTAGTCTTGGGTTGGCAAGCTCATCGGGTCTTAGAAAACAAACCGGCCAAGCATAGGGGCAGTTGGCCCACCTGTGGCTCTTTCTGGCCAGGCCCTCTGACTCTCAGGGACAGAGCTGGCGACCCGCTGTAGTATATCGGGCCCTAGCCCCCAGAATGGGTCAGCTCACCACCCTCAGGGCAATGGACTCAGGGTGTGAGGCAGGGGCTGAAGCTAGAGAGTGAGACTGAACCCAGAACCTCAGATGTCAGAGCATCACCTCCTAACAGCTCGCTAACAGGCACCTTCGTTTTATGAGACTGGGAGGCCTTCAGCTTATTCCTCTCCCCATTTCCTTCTTAGAAGTAGGAAAACAGAATGTTGACTTGAATACCTCATTCTCCAAACAAACCTGGGTTTGAGATCATGCCAACTGAGAGCACCCTGCATGTCACAGCCAGCCAGGAGAGCTCTCAGAATGTCCCTCCCAGGAGGGCTCTTAGCAACACAGAATGCCAGGGTCTGGAGCGTCCTTGGAGATCATCTGGGCCCAACCCCCTCATTTTGCAGATGGGGAAACCTTGGCCCAGAAAGAAGTGCCTGGACCTTGTATCCAGGTCTCCCAGCAACCTGGCCTGGGGCTCTCCGTACTACTCTGTCCCTGTCTCCGTGTGCTCCACCAATCCTGGGTGTTTGCTTGTCTCCTAGAATGCCATTTCTTTAAAGTAATTTATTTCAGTTGTATTTTCTCCTGAGGGCTGAGGACTGCAGGTCTGCTTCTCCTCACCTCTTTCATGAGGAGAGGGGCCTCCCCACTACACAGGGCCCTTGCCCCCGATAATCTCCTCCATTAGCCTGGCCCCCAACCAGCCTTGTCCCTCTCCCCGTACCGGGCTCCTTCTGAGCTGTCTTCTGGGAGCTGAGGGAGGCCTCTGCCTGTCCTGGATGGTAATATCTTTGAGTAATTAAGACAACTTAATCGGCTGTGTGGCAGGATTTAGTTCCTAAGGCCTCTCTGAGGTGGCCCCAGGGGGTTCAGCAGATAAAGTCACAGAGAAGCAAATTGATTGGGCCGTGCTGTCCTCTTCCCTCCCCACTGATCCAGGGTCTTATTCTGCTGGAACCCCCGGATCCAGAGGTGATGGGCCCCAGAGACTTAGGGAGGGGGCAGCCATGGAACAGTGAATAGAAGAAGGACCCTGGAGTCGGGAGGACCTGAGTTCAAATGCAGCCTCATACACTTCCTAGCTGTGTGACCCTGGGTGTGTCACTTAACTCCAATTGCCTCAAAAAAAAAAATTAAATAAATAAAAAATAAAACAGAAAGAGACTTAGGGAGGACATGATAAACATCTCAAGTGTCCAAAGGGACCCAGAGTCATCGATTCATACATGTAAGCACTGGAAGAAGGACCACAGAGACCTTCCCAGTCCATCAGAAGCCTTTATTAAGCACAGTCAAAATCACAAATAAGGAAACAACCCCTGCTCTCAAGGAGTTTGCATTATTTCTTTCAAACTTGTTTTCATTCTGAACTTAAATCTCTTACGGATGAGAAAACTTGCGGCCTTGACCAAGGTCACACAGCTAAGTGTCCAAGGTAGAATTCCAACCCATGTCTTCCCGACTCCAGGTCCAGCGCTCTTTCCCGAGTCCCACACAGCTTCTCCCTGAGCCGGGTCTTTTCCCTCCTCATCCCCCAGTCATTCCCGTAGCCTCTTGCCCCTGCATCTCCCTACCTCCAGTTCCTCCAGGGGCCGCTACCTGTGTCTGCATCAAGGCCAGGTTGGGGGGTGGGAGGAGGAGGAGAAGACATCTGGGCTATTTCTGCACCCACAGACACTACCACTCCCACCTCCCGAGCTCGAGAGCCAAGCGTCTCAGCCCCGCCAAGCGGAGGCAGTATTTCATCAACCAGGCAGTGAGAAACTCGGACCTCACGCCCAGGGCCAAGGGCCGAAAGAGGCTGCAGCAGATGGAGAACAGTGAGTCGGAACTGAATGGGCCGTGTCGGGGGTGGGGTGGGCAGCTTACAGGGCTCCCAAGGCGGGGAGGGGGCTCACCAGCCTTCCTCCCTGCACACCTCCTCTTCCCAATGTTGCTGTGGGAAAGAGTAGAAACTTCACCTAAGGTCCCTGGGGCCTACCAGACCCCGGGAGTAGGATTTCCTTCTCAAAAGCCTCTGGAAATTTGTCAGAGAATCTGGATCAGGGAAATGAGGAAAGTCTTGAGTTCCCCACTTGCTTCTCGCCCTCCCTCTTCCCTCTTCTCCCCCATCTAGTCAGATCTCAAGTTAATCTGAAGTGTAGGGCATCATGGGAAAAGTCACTGACAGTTATCAAGAAGACCTGGGTTCAAATCCTGACTTAGTTCTCTAAGTGATCTTGAGCAAGCTAACCTTCTTTTCTGGGCGTCAGTCTCCTCTGAGCATCGAGGGGATCGATCAGAGGATCTCTTTGGTGCTCCCCCTCTGACCCCTGTGACCCCTCTGAGCTCTGAATCTTCGTTCAAGTGGGCCCAGCTTGTTGACCTGAAGGTCGGGGTGGGTGGCTGAGAATCTCCAGGACGGGTAGTCTGGTTTTTTTTGTTGTTGTTATTTTTTAATTGCAAAGGCCTCTCCTTTGACAGGCCACTATTTGATGACGCTTATGGAGAGGGTTGAATGCTCCCCTGATGATGGGGACCTGGCCCTCCCTGCTACTCCCAGCATCTTTGCCAAAGCCTGCAGCAATGAGACCTACATTGAGGTAGGAGGCCCCTGGTGTCCTTGCCCGACCCCCTTTCCCCGGGACTCGAGGATCTCCTGTGAGGGGGGCCGTTCTGTCGGCCCACGGCCGAGCATCTTGGATCGGACGTTTAGTTTGGAGCCTCAGTTTTCCTCATCTGTAAAATGGGGCTAATAATTCTTGTAACTGCCTGCCTCCCAGGATTGCTGGGAGAAAGAATATCTTTAAAGTTTGCTAGCCAAGTGGGTTTGGAGGACCATGATTTGGTAAAAAGAACGGCTGGATCCCCAGGAGCTGGGAAGCCTGGCTTCTCTCTCCTGGCTGTGTGGACCCTGGGTTAAGCCTCATCTCTGGGCTCCCTGGCCAGAGTTATTTTACTTGTGGAAGGCTAGGCCTGTTCACCTCGTGACATCTCTTGTAGCATTGAGATTGAGGGTTCCCAGTCTCCCATCTACTCTGGAGGTTTTCCCTGCCCTCATCTCCTAGTGTCTCCCTGCCTTGGGCCAGCAGAGGATCTAAGGGCTGTGTCTATACCCTTGGGGTGCCCAACCAGTCTGGCCAAGTCTAGCCCTGGAATAGAACTTGCTGTGGGGGTGGATGGGGCAGGGGAGGGGGCGGGGAAGAGTATCTCCTGGTAGCTGTTTCTAAGGGTATCGAAGCACATGGTGTGTTGGGGGGGTTAGGGAAAAGATGAGACCTACATAATCTGACAAGGAGTCAAGGTCAGTAACACTGGCATGGAACCCACAGACATCTCTTCTGTCCTCCCCCTATGCCAAATACCAGAGCTCGACCCCTCCACCTTGGAAATCTGAGGAAGAAGAAATCTGAGCTCCGTCCCTGCTCCTCCAGGCTGGGAGAACACCCAAATCAGACTCCCAGAGGACCAGAGAAAACCCTAGACATCGGAGTCTCTGTTAGGTCTCTCTGGGGATCTCTAGGACCGGGGGTCTTCACCTGGGGTCCATGGAACTCTCTGGATTTCAGAAGGTCCATAGATAGGGGAAAAATCATCTCTTTATTTTCACTAACCCCTAACTGAAATTGAGCGTTTCTTCAATTATGCATGTAGGCATTGATGGACTGCCGGGGTGGGCTGGTCCATGACACTGACAAGATCCTAGGCTCATTCCCAGCCCATCGGGTCCCCCCTTCCCTTACCACCCCCCACCTTAGCCTGCTTGTTTACACATCTCCAACGGCACCTTCTTACCCATCCCCTCCTCCACATCTTTTTGCAATACCCCTTTGTCCCTCCCTGGCCAGCTATTTCTCATCAAATCTCTTGCCCCATAACCTGGTTTGTGGTCTGTGAAATGGGGCAATGGTGCCTGTTGGGGAAAGGATGGGTGACCCTTAGATGGGAGGGGATCCCTTTCCAGGTAGGGGTTGGCTTAGATGGCCTCTGGGCTTTTTCCCAGTTCTGAGATTCTTTTCTAAAAATTATTACTAATTTATTTTTAGTTATCAGCATTCATTTCCACAAGATTTTGAGTTCCAAATTTCCTCCCTATCTCTCCTTTCCCTCCACCCCACGATGGTGTGCATTCTGAATACCCCTTTCCCTAATCTGCCCTCCCTTCTATCACCCCCCCCTTCTCTTATCCCCTTCCCCTTCTAGTTTCCTACAGGGCAAGATCAATTTCTATACCCCATCGCCTGTATATCTCATTTCCCAGTTGCGTGTAAAAAAAATTTTTAACATTCGTCTTTAAAACCTTGAGTTCCAAATTCGCTTCCTCTCTCCCTTCCCACCCACCCTCACTGAGAAGGCAAGCAATTCAATATAGGTTATACATGTGTAGTCATGCAAAATACTTCCATAAGTCATGTTGTGAAAGGCTCTATTTCCCTCCATCCTATCCCCCCCCTTATTCTAGTCTCTCCTTTGACCCTGTCCCTACTCAAAAGTATTTGCTTCTAATTACCCTTCCCCCAATCTGCCCTCCCTTCCCAACTCTGAGATTCTGAGAGCAGACAGAGGAGCTTTACAAAAAATGCTGATTCTCAGTTTCTAGAATCATAGACTGTTACTATGGGGAGGGTCCTTAGAATGAAAGCCACAAAGGGTGTAGAACCTAGATTGGTAGCCTGAAGGGGTCCTAGGATTAGAGGTCTAGACTGGAAGGGTCTTCACAGGCCATCTTGGCCAATCCTCAAATTTTACAGATGAGGAAACTGAGGCCCAGAGAGGTTGACTTCCCCCAAGGTCACACAAGTAAAATCTTCTGAGGGGTCAGAAGACCCATGTTGTTCAAGGTCCTTAAAAAAATGGATGAGAAGAAAAAAAATGGATGAGAAAACAACTGAGGCCCAGAAAAGAGAAGCAGCTGGCTCCAGGGTACATGGCTCCTGGTCTTTGTGCCATGCCCTGGTGGGCCTATGGGAGGCCCCCTCATCTGGTCCCATTTCATTGGCAAAGACCCCTCTGCCAATAAAGCTGTTGAGAAGTGACTGTGCCCAGGGTCACACAGGGGCAGGGCTTGAACCCAGGCATGGAGGGCTGGCTCTTTTTCCACTCTACCCGGCTGATTCTCCAGCTAGGAGATCAAATGCTGGTGTGTATTTTCTCCTTTCCAGGGGAAAAAACAAAAAAACAAAAACTAGTGTGGATCAGCCGTAGGCGGCAGACTCCTTATCTTCAGTTGGCCCTTGTCCTGACCCCTGCCCCTCAGCTAATTAGGTAGTTCCTGTCCCGAGTTGGGGAGAACAGAAAGCATAGAACAAATTTCTTTATTATTGTCTTCATCGTTATCATTTTAGTGTTAGTGTTATGGCTTCATCCGGAGCGATTGAGTGCTAGAGAAGGCAGGCCTTGGAGGCTTGGCTCTTATGCGTACTAGCTGTGTGACTTTGGGCAAGTCCTTCTCTTTTCCTTCCCAGTTTCCTCTTCTGTAAAATGGGTATAATCATACTTTGTGCCTATCATAAGTAAAGGGCTGTGTAACCCAAACAGCACCAGGGAAATGGGACCCACAGACATCTCTTCTGTCCTCCCCCTATGCCAAATACCAGAGCTTGAGCCCTCCGCCTTGGAAATATGAGGAAGAAGAAATCTGAGCTCAGTCCCTGCTCCTCCAGGCTGGGAGAACACCCAAATCAGACTCTCAGAGGACCAGAGAAAACCCTAGACATCGGAGTCTCTGTTAGGTCTCTCTGGGGATCTCGTTTTTTCCTGTTATTTATGGTCCAGAGGTGGGGTGTCATCAGTGTGGGGAAACTCTGGGGACAGAAACTCCACGGATGGCACCGTTACCTACAACTTAGAGAGTGTTGCTTCTGGACCACCGAGGGGAACTTATGGGAGGTCACAGAGCCAGTCTGGTGTCTGGGGGGGGGGCAAGTCTTCCTGCCTGGGTCTGTGCAACTGGCAGGGATCCTCTATCTACCCAATCATGCTATCTCTCATCTCGTGACCTTGAGCAAGATATTTAACCTCTGTCTGCCCTACTTTCCTTATCTGAAAAATGGGTACAATGATAGCACCTACCTCCCAGGCTTGTAGAGTGTGTGTCTGTGTGTGTGTGAGAGAGAGAGAGAGAGAGAGAGAGAGAGAGAGACGGCATGTCAGCTGCTTAAATGGTAGTTATTATTTCAGTAGTCTAGGGAATTCCCAATAAGGAAACTCCCTCTATTAGTTCAGATCTGCCCCTGTTCTGCAGTTAGCCTGATGGAGTGGTGTGGAGGGCACTGAGTGGTTAGTGATTTGCCCAGGGTCTCACAGCCAGCATGGGTCAAAGGCAGGATTAGAATCCAGGTTCTCCAGGTTGGATCTCTCTCCAGTAATGCCGTATTGCCTCTTGTTATTATAAGTCCATTTGTTCCCATCTTTTTCCATCGAATTCAGATGGAAACGGTCCTGGGACACATTTCCTGAGTCTTTTATAGTTACCGTTCTGCCGACTTGTACAGCTATATACAAAAACTGCCTTTTGTGAGTTGAACACGAGCATTGGGATGGAAGCTAGCCTTCTGGTTTGTTATTATCGTTTCCAAAAAATCACTTTCCAACCAATGTCTGTGGCTCAGCCTTGAGGTTCACAGAAGACATCCCCTCCTTCCCCCACTTCCTTCCACGTGCCGAGGCTTAGGGCCAGCTTGCCCGGCTAAAGAGCTGGCACCATCTCCATTATTAGCCAGACTCAGGGGGTGAAGACTGGTCAATGCTTAGACTGGAGAAGCAGCTGGGGAGATCTTTCTCGCAATATCCCTCTCTCTCCCTTCCCCTCCACCCTCCCACCCCCTACCCCCTCAAAAATGATTTCCTTTTGCAGAGCACACAGCGACAAGGAGTAGCAGTTCCTGTGATGAAGCCTCTGGGGTTTTGTCTTTGTTTCTCTCCCCTCTCCCCTCCTACCCCTCCTGGTCACTGGGCCTCAATTAGCCCTGGCTCTAAAATGGGATCTTTTTTTTTTTTTATTGAGAACTGTCAACCAGATTGTGCGAGGTCGGAGGCAGGTGACAGCTCTAATCCATTCCTGTTAAAGAAATGAGTTCTGGCCAAGGGCACAGCCAACTTATCTCTGAGAAGGCCCAACAGAAGGAATGTGGACAGCTGTCTCTAGGTCATCCCCACGGCCAGAGACAAACGCAGTGGTATTTGGGATGTCGAAAAGAGCGTTGGCTCTAGGGTCCAAGAGCTGGGTTCAAATCCCTCCTCTGACGTGGGTGACCTTTTGGCATGTTTTTTTTGGCATTTGGTATGTTTTCCATAGGGCTCAATATCCTCATCTCAAAAAAGAGGAGGTTGAACGATATGCCTTCCAAAGTCCTTTCCAGCTCTAAATAGAAGATGTGAAATCCTGCACAGAGGGCTTGGTGGGGTCGGGGAATGATGGAAGCAGCTATGGACTGGGAGACTTGGGTTCTGGTCTTATCTCTCTGCTGTCTCTGAACTGCTGCACGTCAGCGCCTTTACCAGTTTCAAGTAGAGGGTACTACTCGCCCTCCCACTTCCCCTGAGGCTTAGGGAATCACTCAGGCCAGCTTTCCACCTGAACTGTTATCCTTCCTTAATTGTTCCTGCTGGCCTGGGTTGGCCAGGGTCATTGGGGGTCTGAGAAATGATGTCCTCGGATAACCAGAGTTTTTCTAGTGTCTGTCCCCACCCCCAGCCCCCATCAGGCCTTTCATGGAAGCAGCTGATGAAGAGGGGACAGATCATGGGAGTCTAGCTTTGTCCCAGGCTCCCTTTCTCACCTAAGAAGGAGATGCTAGCAAGCGGCTGGGCATGGCAGCTCTATGCCCTATTGCTGACCGGCCTATGGAGACAGATTCAGTCTGAGAGGCCAGGTTCAAGCTCCTCTTGTGAGCTCTGGGGCCCTGGCTTGACCCCAGCAGCTGATCAAAGAGGAGAAAGTTGGTTTCTTCCAAGGAGGCAGACTCAGGAGCAGTCGGTGTGGAAGGCTTTGGGGGGAGGCCCTACTGATATCGTGGGAGGGGATGGTGCCACTCTCCTTTGCCTACTCAGACCCCTTCATGTTGGTCAAAGGCTGCCCAGAGGAGGGCACTGGTCACCTGGAAAAAAAAGAAGACTAAGGAGGAAAGGGGGGCTGTTGTCATGTATTTGAAGGGCTGCCTGTCCTGTCTGGCCCCCACATGATGGAACCGGGAGAGGGGTCTATTTAAGGGGGTCTGGAGGTTTGAAGAAAGCATATAGGGTTGATGCAAAGGAAACCTTCTCTGAAAATTAGGGCTTATCTCCCAGTGGAATGTGAATGAATGGATTCCCCATAGGATCCCAAGCTCTGTCAGTCCCACTTCCTACCTCAGTGACCTTGGACATGTTGCTTTTCTGGGCCTCAGTTGCCTCCCCTGATCAATGAGGGGGTTGGATTAGATGACCTCTTAAGGACCCTTCCAGCTCTATATTTTTAGTGCTAAGATTTAGGGCTGGAAGAGACCTTTAGAGGCCATTTCATCCAATACCCCCCCCCCTCCATTTTACAGAGGAGGAAACTGAAATGCTAAGTGAGTTACCCACACTGGTGGCAAATGGTAGAGGCCACATTTAAACTGGAATCCTCTGACTCCAAGTGCAGACTGCTTTCCACTGTAGGCCCCCCCCCCCCGCCCCCTCCTTGCTGTGGAAGTTTTCAAGCAAGCTCACCTGGCCAATTGTGAGGGATATTCTAGACCATCATCTTGCCCAGGTGCCGGCACTACCAACTCCATCCTTTGGGGACTGGGGGATCCTGTCCTCCCCTCAGGGCTGGACTCCCAGCTTGTCTGCCATGGGTGGCAGAGGTTTTATGGGAAGAACGTAATGAATTTAGAAGAGAAGGACAGAATGAATTTAGGTACTTTCTCTTGCTACCTTCCCCCCCCCGCCCCCTCCCCCCATCCCTTTTCTTTTTTGCAGATCTGGAGTGATTTTATGAATCGATCTGGGGAGGAGCAGGAGCGGGTGCTCCTGTACCTGGAGGAAGAAGCTACAAAGAAGCAGAAAAGGAAGGTCCCTGCTAAGACTGAGGATAATCGGAAAGGTGTTGTGGGGCCCTGTGGGGCTGGGCTCTGGGCACAGGCGTGGGGGAGCTCCTGGAGAGGGCAAGACTTTGGCAGAACAGTTGGACTTAACTCAGTTCTTTTGCCTTTCAGAAGATCCATCTTACACACCCCAGGCCTGCTTTCAGAGGATTAACCGTCGCCTGCGGACCACCCTGAAGCGGGGGAGAATCCCCATGGTGAGTAAGGATTAGAGCCACGGGTTATGTCATAGAAGCCTCATGTCCAAGGCTTTTATGGAAGGGTCCATAGAACATATGGTGTCAGAGGACAGAGGGCTCCCAGAACTCAGAATGTCTGCGCTAGTTTGAACATAGGACATCAGGACTGGGAAGGACCTTGGAGAACCATGTTCCATGCAGCACCAGGTGTGCAAAAAGGGTTTAATAAATTCTGTTTGGAAGCAGCGAGGTGGTACACTGGACCTGGAGTAGGAAAGACCGGAGTTCAAATCCAGCCTCACATATTTACTAACTGTGTGACCTTAATTCTGGCTGACTCAGGTTCCTTATACCCAGAATAGGGATAATAAGAGCACCTACCTTCCAGGGCTTTGGGAAGATGAAAACGATAGTATTTGTTAAGAGCATTGTAAACCTTAAAGCCCTATTGGAGTGCTAGCCAGTGTTGTGATTATCATTAATTAGTATGACTTCCAGGAGAAGGAATGAGAACCCCTTCCATGCTCTGCCTACTTTAAGTAATCAGGATGAAATTGGCTGAGTCCCAACCACGTCCCTCTTTCTACCTTATTTTCCCCTGACTGGTAAAAAAAAAGGGGGTAGGAGCGGCAGGTAGGTGGCCTAGCAGCTCAAGTCTGGAAGGCGCATCTTTCTGATTTCAAATGTGGCCTCATATGCTTACTAGCTGTGTGACCCTGGGCAAGTCATTTAACTCTCTTTGCCTCAGTTTCCTCATCTGTAAAATGAGCTGGAGAAGGAAATGGCAAACCACTCCAGCATCTCTGCCAAGAAAACCCCAGATGGGGTCATGGAGATTCGGGCATAATTGAATGACAACAAAAAAGAGAGGGCTTCTGTGTTTTGTTCTATGTTCTAAAGCCCCTCCTGCCCCCCTCTGACATTCTTCCCTCCACATCCCTCCAAGTGGCAGGCAGAGGTCTCTTGTTTTTTTTTCTTCCCTTTTTTTTAAATGGCCCTGACCTTAAGAGTAGGTGATTATGTGGGAAGATGGGGCTGGGCGGCTTCCTTTTCTTTCCCCTTCCGTGTGTGTACAGCTTCCACCATGCAGAACATCCATAATGGGCCTTCCTGAGTTGCCTGCCTCCCGTGGCTAGGTCACTGTGACCGGCAGCAGCCAGGCTTTGTGGAACCGGGCGGGCAGCTGGCAGGAGGGGTTGGAGAACCAGCTAGTGCATCTTGCCAACCATCTAAGGCCTGGAAATTGGACCGCACTGATTGTGGGAGATTCATCTGTCCTGCGTCTTTGTCTTCCTCCAGGGCTGGCGTCTGGTGGCAGGTGACTTTCTGAGAGGTCAGAGAGGTGACCGGACACCTGTTACCTACCGGCCCCTTACATTTTTTTTTTTTAGGCAATTGGGGTTAAGTGACTTGCCCAGGTCACACAGCTAGTTAAGTGTCAAGTGTTTGGTCTGAGGCCAGATTTGAACTGAGGTCCTCCTGACTTCAGGGCCGGTGCTCTATCCACTGCGCCACCTAGCTGCCCCAAAACTTATTCTGTATTCTGATTTTTTTTTAACTTTTTTTAGGTGGGGGGAGTGAGGCAATTGGGGTTAAGTGACCTGCTCAGAGTCACACAGCTAGTGAGTGTCATGTGTCTGAGGCCGCATTTGAACTCAGGTCCTCCTGACTCCAGGGCCAGTGCTGTATCCACTACATCATCTAGCTGCCCCCGGCCACTTACATTTTCATAACTTCTGATTTGTAAAGAGTTTTCTGTCCTTTGGTTCTCGGACTGCTGGGAAAGTCACAAGATTATACTATTCTGAGCCAGAAGGGAACTTTGGCTATTCTTTAATCCAACTCCCTCATTTACTGAGGGGGATGCTGAGGCCCAGAGAGGAGAAAGAGGAGGAGAAGGGACTTGCCCGGTGCCGTCTAGAAGGAGGGGCTTGATTCCGGCTCTGACTCCAAATCTAGCATTCCTTCTACGTCCGGCAGTGGGAGAGCTAGGCTCTCCGTTTTGCAGCTGAGGAAACTGAGGCCGCAGTAGGGAATGAGCTGGTGGCAGAGTGCTACATCTCTGGGCACTGCTGCTTCAGAGGGTACAAAGAGGGGTAGGTAGAACACACTGAGGGCCCTTGTGAATTCCTGGGGGACAGGGCAAGCATGGGACCAGTTTTGGTTAATCAATAAGCATTTGTCTCAGAGAGGGAATCGTTCAGGTAAGGGTTGGCCTGGATGGCCCCTGTGGTACATTCCAGCCCTGAGGTTCTGGATTCTGGGGTGTGCTTAGAAGAGAAGAGTGGGAGGTGTGTGGGCAGGGTACTTGACAGGGAGGTACTTGGAGGAGATCGGATCCTCTGGTTCTCCCCTCCCTGGTGGGGAGCTCCAGCTGGCTAGCCCCTCACAGGGAACTCCAGGTGAGGTCCAGATTAAGGTTCCCCACTATCCCTGTCCTGACTGGTGTGGCCTTATCCCTCCTTCCCAGGACACGCTGGAGGGTCTGGAAGGAAAACTCCTGCGGTTTTTCTCTGTCACCCCTCGATCTGTCTACATAGCCATGATGGATAGCAGGTGAGCCTCCAGCCCTCTCCCAAGGCTTGAATAAGTGTTTGGATCTGAGACCAGCTCCCTTTTTTTTTTTTTCTCTGCCCCAATCTACTGTCCTTGGCCTGATTTCCTCTTTCCTCTTCTGGGGCCAAGGCCAGAGTGACTTCTCTTTCGGGAGGCAGGGGGATGGGTGGGTTGACCTTTCTGGTTAACCTCAGGTCCCCCCAGGCAGGGATTTGGGGGGTGGGGTTGTTGAGTTTCTGCCCAGGCAGAGGTTTTGCCTTTTCAGAATTCACTTTGGTGAAATGTTGATTCTATCCAGGACTCCTGGGCAGGGGGCCCCAGTTCTCTTTCAATTCTCACCCCCAGGCCCTAATGCCAGCCTTTTGTTCTTCTTTCTCCTAGCTTTGAGCGGCTCTTGCTTCATGCCCTCTGCCAGTACATGGACCTGGTCTCTGCCAGTGAGTACTTTCTGTGGACTTTATTCTGCCCTATGGGGGCTAGAGACCCACAGGCCTTAACCCTCTGGGGCCAGAAGGAAGCAAAACATCTAAGCCTTCCTCCCCATCTAGGCCAAGAAATGGAGGCTCAGAGAGGGAAAAGAATTTCCCCAATGTCCCACACCAAGTCAGTGGCAGGGGAGTGAGAATCAGCTCACGGTCTAACTAAGGCTCTTCCTAATTCTGATGTTCTGTGGAAGCAGCACAAGGAAAACCACTGAGTCTGAGGCAGGAGGGTGGGCCCCTCCCCCCAACCCCCAGGTCTGGATTTGGATAATTGAAGCCTGTCGGGGGGAGAGGGGAGGTGGAGAAGCCTGACTCTGGGGCCACAGGGGAGCACTCAGGCCCGGCTTATTAATGAAGCTCCGATCATTAAAGGGCTTAAGTGTTCTCTCTAATGGCCTGGAGGGGAAATTAGGGGGCAGAAGGCACTTAGTCTCCTGGAGGAGGTAGGGGGCCATCCACATAGACCAGCTGTGTTCTGCTGGGCTCGCTTTTCTCGGGAGTAACCAAGGAGTAGGCTGCCATGGCAACCAGGCCTGGGGAAGCTGTCTCTATGACTACAGAGGGAAGGAGGGGCGAGCCGGATTCTAGCTCTTGCTCTAGGGGGGTGGTCTGTCTCTTAGGCTTAGCCTGGAGGATCGGAGTCAGGGTGGAGGAGGGGAAGATCTGCCCTTAAGTGATTCAGATCAGATGGCTTGATCTAGGAGAGAGAGCCCTGGATCAGAAGCCTGGGTTCTCTGCCGAGTAGTTGCAGGGTGACCTTGGACAAGTCATTCAGGCTTTTTGTTCCTCAGTTGAGCAGTTTGTGAAATAGAGCAGTTGGATGAGGTAATCTCTAAGATTCCTATTCCCTGTTCTAAGACCACCCCTCCTTCCCCACCACCCTTGATCTGTCGTCCACTATTTGCCGGCTGGTAGTTAAATTGAGACCAAGAGTTAAGTCGTGAGGTGGATTCAACTCAACAAATACTTAGTAAGGCCCTGCTCCATGTAAGGCACTGGTCTAGGAGCCAGACCTACACAAGGGAAAAAGTCCTTTTCCTCTTGGACCTTGCATTCAACTGGGAGGGGGAGGAGGAGGTCACATTAGAACATATAATCATGGATAAATAGGATACAGGATAGGGGAAGAAGACAACATGACCTGGCAGAGAATTCTAGGAATATTTGAGGAGAGAGAAGAGGGCCAGGAGAAAATCAAGGAAGGCCTCATGGTGGAGGGGAGAGCCTTGATAAGGAAAGGGTTCCCGGAGAAGGGGAGTGCCTTCTGGGTACGGCACATAGGAACGAGAGAGGGGATACAAGAAGAAAGAGTCTTAAAAACAGGATGCTATTCTTATAACCTTGGGATGGGCCATTTATCTTTCTCATGTTGTCCAAGGGTGGAGTACAATTGACTTCTGGAGATGGGGCTAGGCTAAATGTGGTCCCTTCCAGATCAAGTAGGATATGATGCACCCAGTAGGGATGAGCTCCCTGGTACTGGACATATTCAGACAGAAATTGTATGAGGGATATGATGGACAGTGGGTCTAGATCAGGGGTGGGGAACCTGCAAGGCCACACATGGCCTTCTAGATCCCTGGGTGCGGCCTTTTGACTGAGTCCAAGTTTTACAGAACAGATCCTTTTATTAAGGGGATTTATTCTGTGAAGTTTGGATTCAGTCAAAGGGCTGCGCCTGAGGACCTAGAGGGCCACAGGTTCCCCACCCCGGTCTGGATGGTGACTGAGGACCCCTTCCCACCGAGATTCTATCATAATCCCTGGAATCATCAGCATCCCAGGACAGCCTCCTGGGATCTCTTCAGTCTGTGCTAGGGGTCCCGCATAGTGGCTGGTCAGGCTGTTTCTAACTCCTCTGCCTTTGTATCCCTTCCCGGAAGGTGCCGACTTCGAGGGCAGACGGCAGATGAAGGTGAGAAACAAGCATGCCAGCTTCTTGCCTCCGGAGCAGCTGCTGTCTGCCTACCTGGAGCAGAGGAGCTGATGGCATCCCTCCCTCTTCCCCGCCCTGGGGCCAGGAGGCCCTGTCCTCTTCCTCCCCTCTCCTGGGAGGTGGGACAGGACTTGCCTACCCCAGGGCAGCATGGTCCCCAGATCTGTTGATTGTCATCGTTATTATTTTTTTAATCTACCTTGAACTCTGCCTGGCCCACTTTGCTTAGATCTGGGGTTTGCTTCGGGTGTTTTATTGTAATTTTCTTTTTTTACAAGGTACTTAAAAAGTCTTGATTTTTTTTTTTGTGGATTTCACCCCTGACCTGAAAGTCTTTCATTCCTCTTCCCTGCCCCCTCCAATCTATTGGCCTTTTCCCTTGGAAAGAGGTCTGCTTGGGGTGCTTCCCCCTCAGATTCTTTGGGGTGTTCTGGAGGAAGCTCTGGACATCCCCTCTGCCCCAGGCCTGCATCCCAGGCCCCGTAGATGTTTACAAGCCCACTGTGCTGTGACCCTAGGGGTCTGAGCTGGGGCTGGGGGTTGAGGGTTGTTCACTGAGCAGGGAAGACTTCAGGGAGTGAGCAGCCCTTCCCGGATCAGTGGCATCTGCCTCAGAGGGAGGTAGGCTGGCAGGCAGGGTTTTATCATTATTATAATATTTTTAAAAGATTTTTTTTTTGAGGAGGGGTTGGGGAGGGTGTAGTGGCTGGTTTGTTTTGGTCTTGGTAAAAGAAACCAAATTTGAGTTAGATTCTCCTTAGGATCTAGCTCTCCTCAAATGATCAATTTGTGTGGCTAGAGGTGTTTCCACTCCCCACCCCCAGCCATTGAGCCATCCCCCAGACCTGAGGGAAGATGGCCGGCCTGGGGGTGTTTTTCATTATTGCTCATACCATGACCATAGTTTTTCTATAGTGTGTGTTATGTGTATCTCTGTTGTGTGTGTGTGTGTGTGTGTGTGTGTGTGTGTGTGTGTGTTTGGCCCTGACGCCTCCCCCTCCCCTATTTCCCCCCCCCCCCAGCAGAGCAGCTCCATCCTCCATCCCCTAGAGAATGAATGTTTTAAAAACCCCACATTGTAACTCTGGGCCTGAAAGGTTCCAGGTCTCTCCTTTTAGGGGGTGTGTGTTTGTTTTTTAAATCGTCTGCGTCTTCCTGTGGTGCCTTTTTTGCAGAATTACTTGTTATCACTTGCATGGCGGGTGAAGCTGCAGGGCTCCTGGCCTCCCCTCTTGCTCTAGGCCCTGGTCCCACAGGGGTCCTCGTGGGGGGCTGTTTGCCAGCCAGGGCCCCAGGACCCAGAGCTTGGTGATCCTCGGCCGGGGGGGGCCCCTGGTCAGCAATAGCCTCTCTTGACCCCACTCCTGCATTTGGGTCTCCCCTCCCCTCCCCTCTGATCCCAGGAATGGGATAACCACAGGGGACATGGGCCGGAGGGTTGATGTCCCTGGCCTACCTCTTTTCTGGGTCTCGCTGCCCAGGCAGGCCTCGAGAGCCATTGGTGGAGAAGGCAAGGGAGGCTGCTGGCTAGGCCTTGGCTATTGCTTGGCTTTGGGGAAGGTGGGTATAATAAATTCCTGGTGCTCTGTACTTAGCCATGTGTGTGTATGTTTTGTTTTTCCCCTTTGGGATAGAGACAGGCATCATGGGATGCACTGGCAGCCCTTGAAGGACCTAGAAGCCACTGGGGCCAGCCTCGGGAAGAGTGGGGCCAGACAGTGCTGTCTGACATCCTCTGTATCTGTCAACATAAGATTCTCAATCTGACATTCTCTGTGCCTTGGAGGGGGAGACAGACTGGGAGCCCTGATGGGGAGTTAGGAGATCTGAATTCTAGTGAGCTCAGGCAAGCCACTCCCCCAGGCTGGACCTCAGTTTCCCTAGCTTTAAAATGAGGAGCCAACAAAAATTACCTCAGTCCTGAACTGCACCAAGAGGTAGTGTCCCAAATAAGGGAGGCCATGCCCTGTCTGGACCTGCCACAGCTGGGTCCACTGTGTTCAGTTCTGGGTGCCATGCGAGTGCATGCCTGGTGAGGGGAGGGTTAGATTAAGGAACTGGGGATGTTTAGCTTGGAGAGAGAGCCTGGACCCGACTGCTGCCTTCAGTTTGAGGAGTCCTTATGTAGAAAAGAGATTAGACAGGGACAGCAGAACTAGGAAGTAATAGAAGGAGGTGGAGCAAGTTATTGGAAAGGATATTTTGGCTCGATGATTAAAGCCTCCCCAAAGGCTGATGGGTTGCCTTGGAAAGACATACGATAGGATCCCTGTCACCGGAAGGAGAGGTTGAACAACTACATGTCTGGAAAGGAGCCCACAGGTCATGTAAGGCCAGGCCCCTCCTTTTACATAAAAGGAAAAAGTGAGTTGTTCAAGGTCACACAGTGAGCATCAAAGAGATCTGGTCCCAATGGTCTTTGCACAGATGTGGAGTAAATATTTTCCTAATCAGAGAAGGGACCTTTGAAATCATGTAATATAATCCGTAGGGCAGCTAAGTAGGGCAGGATATAGATTATCTGGTCTGCAGTCAGGCAGACCAGTTCAAACTTGACTTCAGACATTTGCTAGCTGTGTGACCCTAGGCAGGTCACTTAACCTTGTTTGCATCAGTTTTCTCATCTGTAAAATGAGCTGGAGAAGGAAATGGTAAACTTCTCCAGTATCTTTGCCAAGAAAACCCCAGATGGGGTCATGAAGAGTCCAACACGACTGAAGAACAGCCTAACTTCTTCATTATACAGACGAGGAAACTGAGCCCCAGAGAAGTTAAGAGGTCCGTCTGAGGTAACATAAGTAGTGAGTAGCAGAATCAGGATTTGAACCCCTTTCATTCCAAATTCATTGATCCCGGTTTTCACTGAGTGAAAGTTTTGAAATGTCCTTCCCCTTCAGGGTGCCTTCTTGTGTCTTCTCTCCCAGGAAGCCAAAGAATTGGGGAGAACTAAGTGCCCTGTAGTGAGGGCACCCACCTTAAGGCTAAAGCTTCTACACCCGGAAATAGGCAGGCCTGTGCTTGGGGGGGAGCGCAGGGGAAGGCTGTTGCATCAGCTGCCCAGCTGGGTTTATAAACAGCAGTCTCCCTAGGGGGTCAGTTTCCTGCCAACTGGCAAGGACCATGAAGATAATTTCACGCCCTTCAAAAGATCCCCCTCACACCCGATTATGCAAGCACTGGAGCCAGAGGCCCAGCTTTCCTTACAGACAGTTCCCGAGATTGAGCTCTTAGCCCCGCCCCCGAACTCAGCCTCCGCCTCTTCCTCCGCCCCCCCCTCCGCCCTGCTCCTACACCTCACGCCCAATGCCCCGCCTCTAGCTTTCCTCTCAATCCCCGCCCCCTACGCCTCACTCTCATCCCAAGTCCCTCCCTTTCAGTCTTGCTTTTCCTTTCAGGCCCCGCCCCCTCGTTCGCTCCGGCGGTTCTGCACTCCACGGCTCCGCCCCTCCTCCGGGCACAGCTCCTCCCCCAAACCTCTGGAGGGTTTTATTCACCCCAAGCCCCGCCCTTCCACCGCCCTCTTCCAACAAGCCCTACCCCATTCAGCACCTTCTTTTCCCTCCCGTCGGGTCCCCACAAAGTCTTCCCTCCCTCAAATCTCACCCCCTTGGCGTCAGCCAGCCATGCTAAAAACACCTTCGCTTCGGGCGTCGTATGTTAATCACGCAAACACCCAGCAGCCACCACTACTGCCGCACTCGAAGGAAAATTTATTAGAAATAACGAACTTTCCAAGATTTCACATCATGAAATCCTATTATTACATGTAGTACGATGTGATTTTAAAAGAAGTCAGGATGAAATCCCGGAAGCCACGGCATGAATTAAATCACCATGTGTTAAAGAGCTGTATTTTGTAGGACCTTAAATAGCTCTGGGGAAGGGTCGGGGATTGTGCTCGCTTCGGCAGCACATATACTAAAATTGGAACGATACAGAGAAGATTAGCATGGCCCCTGCGCAAGGATGACACGCAAATTCGTGAAGCGTTCCATATTTTCTTGTTTCTGTGGGTCTAGTTGCAATTCAACCTTTCCAGTTCTAAATAATTAATTATTAAGAACTCTTCTAAGCTTCTTTCCGCAGGTCCTCCACCATTATCATTTTTCCCCACAGGCCCTGATCAGTACAACCTCGGAATTGCCCATGGTTTTTGTTTTATGTGTGCAGAAGAGCAAATAGTTTCATTTTTGTCTGCTTCAACAGCCAAGTAACCGCAAACGATTGCTAATCACTTACGTACTTCAAGAACTCCTATTACACAGAATTACAATTTCATATTAAAGGGAAGACCAGAAAGGGTTTAGAAATCTCGCCTGGTCCGAGACAAAAATATGGAACGCTTCACGAATTTGCGTGTCATCCTTGCGCAGGGGCCATGCTAATCTTCTCTGTATCGTTCCAATTTTAGTATATGTGCTGCCGAAGCGAGCACAATTCCCGGCCCTTCCCCAGAGCTATTTAAGGTTCTACAAAATACAGCTCTTTAATACATGGTGATTTAATTCATGCCGTGGCTTCCGGGATTTCATCCTGACTTCTTTTAAAATCACATCGTACTACATGTAATAATAGGATTTCATGATGTGAAATCTTGGAAAGTTCGTTATTTCTAATAAATTTTCCTTCGAGTGCGGCAGTAGTGGTGGCTGCTGGGTGTTTGCGTGATTAACATACGACGCCCGAAGCGAAGGTGTTTTTAGCATGGCTGGCTGACGCCAAGGGGGTGAGATTTGAGGGAGGGAAGACTTTGTGGGGACCCGACGGGAGGGAAAAGAAGGTGCTGAATGGGGTAGGGCTTGTTGGAAGAGGGCGGTGGAAGGGCGGGGCTTGGGGTGAATAAAACCCTCCAGAGGTTTGGGGGAGGAGCTGTGCCCGGAGGAGGGGCGGAGCCTTGGAGTGCAGAACCGCCGGAGCGAACGAGGGGGCGGGGCCTGAAAGGAAAAGCAAGACTGAAAGGGAGGGACTTGGGATGAGAGTGAGGCGTAGGGGGCGGGGATTGAGAGGAAAGCTAGAGGCGGGGCATTGGGCGTGAGGTGTAGGAGCAGGGCGGAGGGGGGGCGGAGGAAGAGGCGGAGGCTGAGTTCGGGGCCGGGGCTAAGAGCTCAATCTCGGGAACTGTCTGTAAGGAAAGCTGGGCCTCTGGCTCCAGTGCTTGCATAATCGGGTGTGAGGGGGATCTTTTGTGAAGGGATAGCATCGAAGTATTTTAATTGTTTTGTTTTCCTATTATTGTCAAAGACATCACCGTCCTCCCAGTTGCTCAGGCTCCCAGCCTAGGAGTTATTCTAGACTGCTCACTCTCTCTTACTCCCCATATCCAAGCTGTTGCTAAGGCCTGTTCAATTCACCTTTGCTACATCTCCCCAATAACTCCTCCTTCTCTGACAGTGTCACCCCTCTAGTGAAGACCCTTATCACCTTGTGTGATTCAGGAAGAAAAATGTGGTTCAGATTGGCTCCTACAATAAGACACACTCCTAGAGAGAGAAGTGAAGGTAGCTTTAAGATTATAATGTAGGTATAGGAAAGCTAGATTTACAGCAACATACAATTAGCAATACGACTATAGTTAGGCCAAGAATACAAAGGATAGCAATCACATAAGAAAACATCACCAATTTGGGAAAGCACCAACATCTGAAGTCCAAGCTGGGATTTCCCGGGGTACAACTTTCAGGGTCCCGACTGGGAAAGTCCCAGGCAGAGCGTCTTCTCCATGGGTGAGAATCCAAAAATGGCTTTCCCAATTAGGATTTAAATAGGGCCTCTAACAAGGAAGGCCCTGTGCTAGAGGTGCCCATGATTCTAGTAGATGTTTTTACTTGGTCCAGGAACTGGCCAAGTTCCTGGAGTGAGCAAAACGTCTTAGAATATTAATTAACTTGATATGTTCTGATGAACTGGCCAGGTTCCCAGAGCACATCTTCTCCTGAGAACTGACTAAATTCTCAGGTCAACATAAACAACCATACTCTGGCTTATAGCCCAATGTTTAGAGTCATACAGGGAACAGGGAAGATCTTTCCTTACAAGATTTATCAATCACACCTGGTGCCTGGACGGTTGCTATAGTCTTTGGATGGGTCTGCCTGCCTCAAGTCTCTCCCCACTCTTCCCTTCAGCCACCAAAATGATTTTCCTAAAGTGCAGGTCTGATCATGTTACTCCCTTACTCAATAAACTCCGGTGGCTCCCTATTGCCTCCAGGACCAAATAGGAAATAATCTGTCATTCAAAGTCCTTCATAACTTAGAGCCCTCCTATTTTTCAAGTCTTCTTAATCCTCATCTACCTTACTATGCAATCCAGTACATTGGCCTTTTTGTTGTTCCTCACACAAGATGCTCCATCTCCTGGCTCTGGACATTTTCACTGGCTGTCTCTCAGTGACTTCCTCATTCCTGCCTCCTGGTCATGCTAGCTTCCTTCAAGTCCCAGCTAAAATACCCCCTTCTGTAAGAAGACTTTCCTGATCCCCCTTAAAGCTAGTGCCTCATCTCTGTTGATTATTTCCTATTTATTCCTGTATGTAGGTTGTTTGAATGTAGTTGTTTACATGTTGTCTCTCCCATTAGACTGTTATCTCCTGAATAGCACGGCTATTTTTTTTCTTTTCTTTGTGTTCTCAGCACTTAGCACAGTGCCTGACATACAGCAGATGATTAATACATGTTTATTGACTGACTGACTATTTTCAGGCTGAAATGCAAAAGCTATTGAGAACAAAAACAAAACAGTTCTTTTTAGAACCTGGTGATTTTTCTTTCTTCTGTTCAGTGGGGCCCCAGGTTGGGGACCCTAGAAAAAGCAATCCAGGAATCTTGTGGACAAAGCAAATTCCTGTATACTGCATGTGCATGGTATTCCTTCCATCTCATCTTCTCTAGCAGATGTCCCCCTCTCTCTATCCTCTCACTCTTACTAACTTCATACTCTCCATATTTACTGGATGCTTCCTTGCTGCCTATGTTCATGTCTCCCCCATCCTTAAAAAACACAACCGAAAACCAAACTTCACTTGATCTGACCACCCCTGCTAACTATCACCCTCTATTTCTACTCCCTTTCTTGGCTAAACTCCTTGAGAAATGTGTTTGTGATGAGTGCCTTCTTATGATGATTGCTTTCCTCTCACTCTCTTCTTAACTCTCTCTGAAGCCACCAATGATTTCTCAGCCAACAAATCTAACAGTCTTTAGTTAGTCCTCATTGTTCCTGACCTCTCTGCAGCCTTTGACACCATCAGTCACCCTCTTCCGGATATACTCTCCCCTATAGACTTTTGTGACACTGCTCTCTTATGGTTCTTCCCCTACCTGTCCTCTCCTCAGTTTTCTTTGCTGAATCTTCCACTAGGTCACATTTACTAACTGTGGAAGTCCCCAGTGCTCTGTCCTGGGTCCTCTTCTCCCTCTTTGCTATCTTGCCAACTTTCAAGGGTCCTATTGTCACCTCTATGAAGATGACTCTCAGATCTTTGTGTTTAGCTAAAACCTCTTTCCTGACCTCTATTCTTGAATCATTCAGTAGCCTATTGGACATCTCAAATTGGATGCCCAACAGACATCCTAAACTCAACGTGTTCAGAACAGAACTCATTATCTTTCCTCCTGAGACCCTTCTTTCCAGCTTCCTTATTCCTGCCAAGGGTGCCACCATTGTCCCAATCACCTAGTCTTACAATCTTAATATTATCCTTACTCTCTCTTGCTTCCCATATCCAGTCTGTTGCTAAATTCTGTCATGTCTAGTATAAACCCCATTCTCTCCTCTAACATGCAATAATCTTGATTCAGATCTTGATCACCTAATGCCTGAACCATAGCAACAGCCTGCTGGTTGATCCCTCTCTTCATCTCTCTCCCCACTGTGGTCTATCCTTCATTCACTTGTCAAATCAATCTTCCTATAGCACAGGTCTGATCACATCTCCCCTCTATTCAGTAACCTCCAGTGGTTTCTTATTACCACCAGGATCGAATATAAAATCCTCTCTGGCATTCAAAGCCCTTTACAACCTGTCCCCTTCCTGCATTTCCAGTTTTCTTACACCTCACTGCTGTTGCTCATATATGAGATCCCATCTATCAATTCGGTGGCTCTCCCCCTGCCCAAGAGCACTCCTCCCATACCTCTGATCTCAGGGCTTCCTTCAAAGACTGCTCAGATCTTACCCTCTGTGGGGGACCTTTCTGATTTCCCCCACTCCTAGAACCTTCCCTCTGAGATTACTTGTCTCACTTATAGTGCATATCTCTGGCATGTACATAGTTGCTTGCATGTTGTCTCCATTAAAGTGTAAGATCCTCGAGGGTGGGGACCATGTTTTTGTTTTTTGTATTCCTAGTGCTTAGCATAAGGCGTGTGACATAGTAGGTGTTCTTGCTGACTGTTTACTGACATATGAGAAAAAGGCCCAAAATAAATCACTGCCCCTTCATTCCATGCATCTATGCCTGGTCCTGTGGTGTTCACCAGACACCCGAAGAGAAAAGTACACCATTTACTGTAGAATATCCTCAAGGAATAAATATTGATTCTCTGCTCTGTCTTGTAGGCACAAGTATGCCAGAAACAATTTTTATTAATTTAACAGCATCCTAAAATCCCAGCATGTCTAGCCTAGAGAAAGATATGTCCAAGTCGGTACATTCCCTCTGTCCTCTGATTCTCCACCGAGACAATTTTAGTTGATATTTATGAGAATCTTGAGCAGCAACAAAAAAGTTATAATATGTTCAAATGTAGTTCAGGATCACCATTCTAGAACCATACTCACTACTCTATTCCTTCCTTGACTACTAGCCCCAAGGACTGAAAGGGTCTCTTCTCTCTAACTATCCCCAGTCTTTTTGGCTGGAGAAGGGTGGGTCGCCCCCTAATCCTTTTGGAGCACAGGAAAACAAGTGAATGCAAGTCTATTCAAAAGAAATGCAAAGTAATTTTGTGGGCAAAGCCCAGGTAGCTGGGAACAGAGTAGAAGGTGGTGCTGGAGTTGAGCTCAAAGTTATATGTAGCCCCCCTGTGCTTTGCCAGCCCACAAAGTCCCTGCTCCCTTGTCCTCTTCTCTATGGGAGATTAGCAGGTGTAAGATTCTTCATTGGTTCTCCTTTCTTTTGCCTCAGCTTGGGAAAATTAGTCCCTGGAAACTTGTGGGAGTGGACATTCACAAAGTAATCCCAAATAATTGGGATCATTAGTCGCTGGGAGATCAGGAAAGGCCCCCAAGTGAGGGGTAGTGGCCTTGATTGAGACTTTGAGGAAACTAGAGATTTAAAGAGTGACAAAGAAGTGCATTCCAAGAAGGGTAGGAGAAGAAATGTTAATGCAGCTTTTTTTTGCCTAGGAGGATGAGGAGAGCCAGAGTAAGACTTAGAGAGGATTCAGTATGAGCTCTGCCTGCAGACTATTACTCTTTCAATTCTCAATTATCTCCCTAAGAAGAAATACCCACAAAAGAGCAAGAAAATTCCTGGGCCGCAAACATCTCGCAGGACTGGCTGTAGACCCAAGGAAAGTCAGGGAAGGCAGAACAAAGACAAATTTTTCATTTTGACTACGGGAGATAAAAATATGGAACGCTTCACGAATTTGCGTGTCATCCTTGCGCAGGGGCCATGCTAATCTTCTCTGTATCGTTCCAATTTTAGTATATGTGCTGCCGAAGCGAGCACAAACACAGCGCCTTTCCGAAGGGTATTTAAGACCAAGAAATTTACATATCTTACACACACGGCGATTTAATGGAATTATCTAGGTGCCTTAATTTCTTTCCTGTCTCTTTAAGACGTGTTTTGTACGTGATTTAAACGTCTCTTTATCATCTAAGATCTTGAGAATGTCTCTATTTGGAAAATCAATCTTTGCTTCACTGCGACCGTAGTGGCTGCTGGGTGTTTTGCGTGATTAACATATTACGCCCAAATGGACCGCCCCATGGGATGGCAGACGAGGCGGGGTCGGAGCCTCCTCTATCCCAGAAGCCACCGCAAACCTGCGCGGTCGGTCTCGACGTTTCCTTGTGTGTCTGCTCAGCCCGCCGTTCCCTGAGCAGGTCCGACGGGAGGCCGGAGCAGCTGCTCCGCTTGCAGTTGGGGCGGGAGCAGGAGCGGAGCGGGAGCAGAGCAGAGCAGAGCACGGAGGGCCGGACAGAGCGGAGGTGAGGCGCGCACCGGGTGTGCAGTTGTCTGGGGGCCGTCTCTTGGCTGCGGGGTCGGAAGATGCTCGGAGGGGCGGAGCTTGGCCCAAGGATTGGCCGAGGGGGCGGGGCCCGGGAAAAGGAAGCCGCGGAGGGGGAGGGGCCTAAAAGGAGGCTGCTGTTGAGAGGAGGGGGAGGTTTGCGTAGGGGAGGAGCCTGAAGGAAGGGGTGGGGCTTTTAGTTGAAAGAGTGCTGGGTGCCTGGGATAGGCTTGAAGCGTAGGACCACTGAGGGAGGAGGAGGTGGCCGCTGAGGTGTCTCTGGGGATTTTAGGACCAGTGCTTGGGAAAGTGAGTAGGAAAGGGGCAGCTAGGCAGAGCAGTGGATGGAACCCCGGCCTCGGAGTCAGGAGGACCTGAGTTAAATGTAGCCTCGGACGCCTACTAGCTGTGTGACCTTGGCCAAGACTCTACCCCATTACCTCCAAATTAAAAAAAAAAAGTGGGTAGGAAAAGGGATGATGGCATCCTTCATTTAACTGTTTTATTTTCCTGTCCTTAGATGAGTAAAAAACTTGAAAATGGTATGGACTGATTTGAGGTAGATAGAGTGAGGTTCTAATTCTGTGCCCCAGGAGTCACTCAACTAGCATTTATTAAGTACTCGCTATGTTCCAGGCACCCTGCTAAGTGCTGCTGGGCATACAAAGAAAAGCCAAAGATAGGCGCTACTCAGGGATCTCACATTCTAATAGAAGGGACAACACGCAAATAACTATGGGCATATAAAATATATACAAAGTCTATATACTTTTATCTTTCATGCTAGTGCTTTTTTTCTAGATGATCTCCAATTTATCTCGTCTCTATTTTGCTCTTAGGGACTGGTTGGTTGTTTTTTTTTTTGCCTTTCTTTGTAGCACTTAGTAGGAGCTTAATAAATGCTTTTTCACAAAAAATTAATTTATTTTTAGTTTTCAACATTCACTTCCACAAGATTTTGAGTTCCAAATTTTCTCCCCATCTCATCCTTCCCCCCACTCCAAGATGGCATGCATTCTAAATACCCCTAATCTACCCTCCCTTCTGTCACTCCCCACCTTCTCTTGTCCCATTCCCCTTCAGTTTTCCTGTAGGGCAGGATAGAGTTCTATATTTCTGTATATTTTATTAATAAATGATTCTTGACGTGACTGGATGGAAGGTATTCTCAGAGGAAAGGCATTAGAAGTGGAGGGGACAAGGAAAGACTTCCTGCTGTAGGGTCAGAGAAAAGCTGGTGGCAGGTTGGGGGGGTCCTGTGTAGTGGGGTCTGGACCACCCCACTAAAGGGGCAAGAAAATAATATAATGAAAATTACAATGGTAAATTATAATGGTAAATATAAATTATAATATATGAAGAATAAACCAAATCCTTGTAATATTATATTTTTTAAATTATTATTAGTGGGGTCTGTACTACCCCAGTACAGGGGAATGAGGAAAATAACATACAAATGTATCAACTGTGTCTTCTGTGACAGTCTCAAGACTATTTTCAGGCTGAAATATAAAAAGCTTTTAAAGAATAAAAACAAGACAATGAGATACCCTTTTTTTTTCCTTTTTAGGACCTGCTGATTTTTGTCTTCTGATCTGAGGGACCCCGGGCTGGGGCCCCAGAAAGCAATCTAGGGGTATGATGGATTTGGCTTATGTCTGTGAGTGGGAGAAAAGGCCTAAGAGCAATCACTGCCCTTCCATTCCGTTGGTCTGTGCCTGGTCCTGCCGAAACCTCATAGCCTTTACCACCGACCTGAAAAATGAAGAGGAGAAAGGTAGGCCGTTTGCTGTGGAATACTAATAGCGACCTGCAGTTTCTGAGTGCTTGACAGTTTACAGAGCGTTTTCCTCATACCAGCCCTGTGAGGTGGGCAGACTGCTTCAGAGGAGGAGCCAGGCTTAGGGGGTTAAGTAGCCTGTGGAAGGTCTCAGAAGCAGAGGGAGAGCTGGGACCTCCAGAGCCAAGGTGTCTTCCTGGGGTTTCGTTAAATTCAGCAAGTATCGACTGAGTGATTTTGTTCTCATCCCACTGTTCTCAGATGAGGACACCGGTATTCGTGGTGGTTACCCAATGAGCTGAGGTCATAGAGCTCTTCAGAAACAGATCCTGGTCTAGACCCCAAAAAAGAAAATCCCTGGCTTTTCCCAAATCTTGGCATTTGCCTGAGGCAGTAATCCATTCAGCTGGCCTTTCATTGTGGCCATGCCCAGTCTCCCAGTTGTGTTCCCACCCTTAATCCTGTCTAGACTCCATTCTCGCTTGGCCACGTGGTGCAGGTCCCTGGCATTCTGTTCACCTCACCTTACTGGCTACTTCCATCCAGATACTCCTTAGACCCCTCCTCCAGTCACCCTGAACTACTTGGCCACTCCTAGATCCCGCCTACAGTCTTCCTGTATGTAAAGTCCATCTTGTCTTCATTAAAGTACTCAGATTCTTAAAATCTAGCCACTGCTCAGATTTCTTAAGAACCTAGCCAATAGTTTACAAATGCTCAGATTCCTTCAGTGTCTGGCCAGTATGGCAGATCTTTAATAAATCTAGGGAAAAAAAGAAAGAAAGAAAGAAACAGATCCTGGACTAGAACCCAGAACCCAGGTCTCCTGGGCTGCTTAGCTCAAACCCAAAAAGAAAGGCTCCCTGCCTATGGACTTAGAAAACCACAAATTAACAGTATCTCTGTTTAATGTATTTTTATTTGTTTTGTTAAACATTTCTCAGTTACATTTTACTCTGGTTCCACCTCTGTGGTATAGACCAGGGTGCTCAGGGATGTTTAGGGGATCCATCGTCCACGTAGAAGCCCCTGGTTCACCTGTGGTATCCTGGAGCATTGGATTCAAGGTCTGGATATCAGGCTGGCGTCACGTGGCTCTGACCCTTGTTTCCTCCTCAGTAGAGTGAGGGAGCAGGGCAGAAAGGCTAAGCTAATGACCTCTGGGGTTTCTTCCAGCCCTCCCAGCATCCTGTAGTTTCCTTGCTCCGTGCACATTGGCCATTTGTTTTGTTTTGATTGAACCTGTGATTCTCAACAGTATAGGGAGCTCAGTTGGAGAAATCCCTCCACCTACGAAGCTTAGGGTCTCGGAGAGTGCCCTTAGATGCTGATTGAGAGAGGAAGCTAAAAGGACTCCACTTTGTCTGCAATTGCTCTTTATCTTGCCTCTCACCCTGTTTGTATTGCAGTCCCTACCTTCTCCCCACCCCCTGGAGACAGTCCTGTCTGTCAGGGTGAGGTCATAGGAGATAGCTACCCCGAAGAAGAGTCGGCCTGTCCAGTCATGGGGTACCGCATCCCCTAAGCCTGCCCTGCAAGCCCCCAGAGCAGCCTTGTGCAGTCATGTTGCTCATTTGTTTTCAGTTGTGTGAGGTTTTCTTTTTTTTTTGGTGAGGCAGTCGGGGTTAAGTGACTTGCCCAGGGTCACACAGCTAATAAGTTTCAAGTGTCTGAGGCTGGATTTGAACTCAGGTTCTCCTGACTCCAAGGCCAGACCTTTATCCATTGCACCATCTAGCTTCCCCTATGTGAGGTTTTCTTAGTAAAGATACTGGAATGGTTTGCCGTTTCCTTTTCCAGCTCATTTTACAGATGAGGAAACTGAGGCAAACAAAGTTAAATAACTTGTCCAGGGCCACCCAGTTGTGAGTATCGGAGGCTAGATTTGAACTCATGAAGACGAGTCTTCCTGACTCCAGGCCCTGGCATTCGGTGCACTGTGGCGCCACCTAGCTGCCCCCGTCCAATCCTAAGGTTCACCATACCCAGTTCACCTCCTGGGTAAATTGAACCTATATAAGCTTTGTTCTTTGGTTCCTTTGGGGCAGGAGTGGGGAACCTTTGGTCTTCTAGGTCCTCGGGCATGGCCTTTTTGACTGAGTCCATGTTTTACTGAACAAGTCTTTTCTTTAAGGGAATTTGTTCTGTGAAGTTTGGATTTAGTGAAAGGGCCACCCTTGAGGACCTAGAGGGCCGTGTGTGGCCTCGTGCCGGTGGGTTCCCCACCCCTGCTTTAGGAGGTCTCTGCCATTCTGGTGGAGCCCCCTTGCTGGTGAACTCAGTAAACTCTCCTTGGCTCCTGAAGTTAAGGTTTTGGGCTTGGTTTTTGGTTTTGATTTGTGGCAGCATTGACAGTTTTACCCACATTGCACGCTGACATAGAAATATAATTAGCCTGTGTTTCTGTGGTGCTTGGCTATCAGATTCTGGATGCCCTTTTCCCCTTAGACTCCGCGGGCCTTTCTAATGCATTTGTAATTTCCGCTTGCATCAGAAGTCGTATCCCCTGTCAAACTGTGAGGTGCATGAGAGCTGTGTCTTGGCTGGCCTTTGTGCCTTCCCCAGTGCCTGGCACATTCATCTCTTCACGGTATGCAGTCCGTACATGTGTGGAGTTGAATAGGTTTTGACAAGTAAGCTAAGGAGGCACTCTCTCATTAGTCATTCTGACTGCTGTTTTTAGTGAGGTGACTACTGTCAGGAACATTAAATTCCTTTCTCTGTCAGCCTTCAGCATTTGCTGTTTCTTCTCTTCTCAGATTTGACCCACATGATTCATATTTTGGATACCGAGCACCCGTGGGACGTGTACTCCATTAACTCTGAACACAATGAAATGATCACTTGCCTGGAGTGGGATCAGTCTGGTGAGAAGGGCTCTTTTTTCTGTCTTCTGTTCTTAATGGCCAGGCCCAGTGGCGATAGGGGGGTGGAGGTGAGTGGGCTGGCCCCTGGAGAATGAAGTTCCACATTTAAAAAAAATATGGCCCTCTGACCTCTTTGGCCCACAGACATCAAAGTGTAGAGCTGGAGGTGAGTGACTTTGGAGCCCTTGTCCTCCCACCAGCTCATTTCACGGACGGGGATAAGTTTAGTATAATAATAACCTGTAGACACAGGGTGACACCTGGATCTGAATGTAGTTTTAGGCTATTAAGTGTTAAAGACTTTTGGACATCTGGTTTATATGGTGCCTTATGCTTACAAAGCGCTTGTTAAATATTTTACTTTTTTTATTATAAACTTGGCAACCCTCAGCTTCAGGAACATTTCTCCGAAGCTCTCACACACATGATACTCAGGGGTAAGATGTCCTCATTTGGCACACCTCCTCAGCACCCCACCTTCCACCCTGCCCCGTTGTTCCCTCCTGTTCTCTGATTGGAGAGGGAGGAGGGTGGTCATCTGAACTCTCCTCCTAGGTCCTCTCTTCAGGGAGGTGGGCCAGGGCTGACGCCTCCTCATTTCCCATCCAGCTACTCGGGACGGCGTCATCCCCCCTTCCTCTCTACCCCAGGGGGAACCTTGCCTCCTTCCTTCCCTCTCACTTCAGCTCTTGCTATGGGTTGTTTCCCCCATTAGACTGTAAGCTCCTTGAGAGCAGGGACTGTCTTGCCTTTTTGTGTCCCCTGTCCCACTGTGTTCTTAACACACAGGTGCTTAAGAAATGTTTATTGACTGACTTATGACCTACCTAAGGCCACACAGCTGGTTAGTGACAGAGAGGAACTCAAATCCAGGGGTTCGGCTCCTAGTCTTGTACTGTGAGGCCACTCGGCGGGCATTGTGAATGACAGGGAACTGGGCCTGGAGTGGGGAAGTCCTGAGTTCCAATCCAGCCTCATGCACTTACTAACTGTGATCTTGGGCAAGTCATTTAACCTTTGTCTGCCTCAGTTTTTCCATCTGTAGATTGGGGATAACAATAGCACCTCCCTCTCAGCATCGTTGTGAGGCCACATGAGATCATATACGTAAAGCACTTTGCAAACCTTGAAGCTCTATAGAAATACTAGCCATTGTTGCTGTCGGTATGGTTGGCATGACCCCTGTCACACTGGTGCTCTTTGCCCACTACCACGGAGTTCCCCCCCACACCTTCCTTCTTTGAAGAGAGGGGGGCTATGGGTGTGGAATGTCACACACACATGCTATCATGCAGGATGGGCTGGGTTTGCCAAACGTACGGGTTATTTTTTGTTTTTAATTTTTAGGTAATAAATCTTACAAGGAAGCCTTGCATTTGGATGGAAGTTGAAGTGCCGTAAAAGCAAAGGCACCAGGGAGACATTTCTTTCTTTTTAATGGATAAGCCCTAACAAACACAGGTTGTTAGACCACCCCCCCCCCCGCTGCCCTTCGGCTTTCCCACCACTCGCTTTTCCTCACTCCCCTGCTTCCCTTTCAGGCTCCAGGCTCCTATCAGCTGATGCCGACGGGCACGTGAAGTGCTGGGGCATGTCCGACCATCTGGCCAACAGCTGGGAGAACACAGTGGGCAGCATGGTGGAAGGCGACCCCATCGTGTCTTTGTCCTGGTTACACAACGGCGTGAAGCTGGCCCTGCATGTGGAGAAGGTGGGTGAGGGGCCGTGGGTGTGGGGAGGGAGCTGAATGAAGCTGTTATCCCACATCCATAGGGTCCTTGCATCATTCTGCTGCTCACGGCAGTGGAGCTGTGGTTCCACCCTGCAAGCAGGTCCTCCCATTGCCTCCTCACTGGCTTGTCTGATCTCTGCTCTGGCTCCCACTTTATGAAGTGTTAGGGATCCCCCGCATCTAAATTGTTGCTGCTGTGAGATGCTTCTCGCTCTCAGAATCCTACCTCTTTCCCTTAGGACATCAGAATCACTGAGGATTTAAGGAAAGATGTACAGAGGGAAGAGAGTGATTATTTCAGAAATAATACCCTGGAGGAAAGAAACCAGGCAGCAGATTGTTGAATGGAGTCCTGTTTATGATGGGCCATCTTTGTTTGTTTTTTTTTATGTATAAATTTATTATTTTTAGTTTTCAACATTCCCTTCCACAAGTTTTTGAGTTCCAAATTTTCACCCCATCTCCCCCCCCCCCACCCCAAGATGTCATGCATTCTGAATATCCCTTCCCCTACTCTGTCCTCTCTTCTATCTCTCTCCCCTTCTCTTATCCCCTTCTCCTTCTATTTTCCTGTAGGGCAGGATAGACTTCTGTATCCCGTTTCCTATATTTATTTCCCAGTAGCATGTGAAAACATTTTTTTTAAACATATGTTTTTAAAACTTTAGGTTTCAAATTTTCTCTCTTCCTCCCTCCCCACCCCCCTCATTGAAAAGGCAAGCCACTCAATATAGGTTGTACATGGGCAGTTATGCAAAACACATCCATAGTAGATGTTGTGAAAAACTAACTCTATTTCCCTTAATCCTATCCTGCCCTCCCATTTATTCTGTTCTTTCTTTTGACCCTGTCCCTCCTCAGAAGTATTTACTTCTGATTACCCCCTTTCCCAATCTGCCCTCCTCTCTATCATCCCCCTGTTCTCTTGTCCCCTTTCCGCCCTATTTTCCTGTAGGGTAAGACAGATTTCCATACCCAATTGAAAGTGTATGTTATTCCCTCCTTAAGCCAAATCCTATGAGAATAAGATTCACTCATTCATGATGGGCCATCTTTGGAGGAGGGCCTTTGAGGCTGTGTTGTGCTCACTCATGAAAGCTAAAAGTGATCACTATAACAGGATCTTATAGTCTCCTTGTTGCAGAGTCTCTTGGGTGTGCGCCACTATCAACGTTTTACAGAGATGGGAAAGAAGGCCAGTATGTGTAAGCCACTTGCTGACAGCTTCTCAGTCACTTTTTTTTAAAAGCCAAATATCTGTGATATTTTCTGTTCTTTTGGAGTCTTCCTCTTTCAGCTGTTTTGTAAAGGGATCTCTGAGCACCTTTACACTTGGTTAATAACTACTAGCTGAAAGGCCTGGTTCAGCCTCTTGAGCTGCGAGTACATGTGTAGTATTCCTTCTGACCTCCTTCTGGTCCTCTGCACTCCTGAACCTACATCCAGTGTCTGGTTCTTGCCTGCTCCTTTTGCCAGATGTCACTGCTTCAGGGGTCCCTTGATCTCCCATAATTCCTGCACAAGGAGCCCACAGTGTGCCAGGTGCCTTCTTCTAAGTCTCTTAACAGACAGTGATCTCGGGCTCTGGGTTATCCAGCTGTTATCCCTGGGGTTCACTGTGTGAGCAGCCTACATCCTTTTCTGCACAGACACCGTACCTCTGGCAAGACACCATGCCTTCTCTCCTGTATTGTCCTTTGTTGATTGTGTGCTGCAGCCCACCCATCCCCTCCATGCCCTTCAGGTACCCCACAGCTTTAGTTCTTCATTATTGGTTCAGCCATTCCCCATTTGGTGGACAGCACTCCCTTAGTTTCTAAACCTTTGCCATGACAAAAAGAGCTACTATAAACGTTTTTATGTGTGTGGTTCTTTTTCCTCTTTCGTCAGTCTCTTTGTGGATTAGGCCTAGTTTGGTATCACTAGGTCAAAGGGTATGCACAGTTTGGGATTTCTTGAAGGCATCCCAGCCTTGTGTGCTGAGGTGTCAGAGGAGGACTTTCGGTGGAGGATAAATATATGACAAAGTAGAACGTAATTAGTTTTAAGGTCTTCACTAAAACCTCACTTTTGTATTGCCTTCTCATTGCTTGGAAGTAATCCCAGGTTCTTTGCTTGTTCTACTGAGCCAGATATGCCCTGGTATTTGCCAACACTGGACTGTCCATTGTCTGAGGTTAACGGTCTAGGCGGGAGCCGGGAAGACTTCCTGAGCTCTGGGCGTTCAAGCTCGATTTTGAAGGTTCGCGTTCAACAGGCATTTCTTCCTTTGCAGTCGGGTGCCTCAGTTTCGGCGACAAGTTTTCTCGAGTCAAGTTCTCGCCCTCGCTGACGCTTTTTGGTGGGAAGCCCATGGAGGGTTGGATCGCAGTGACCATCAGTGGGCTGGTGACTGTGTCCCTGCTCAAGCCCAACGGGCAGGTGCTGACGTCCACGGAGAGCCTGTGCCGCCTGCGCTGCCGCGTGGCCCTGGCGACGTTGCCTTCACCGGTGGCGGCAACATCGTGGTGGCCACGTCTGACGGCAGCAGCACCTCCCCAGTCCAGTTCTACAAGGTGTGTGTCAGTGTGGTGAATGAGAAGTGCCGGATCGACACGGAGATCCTGCCATCCCTCTTCATGCGCTGCACGACAGACCCGGCACGGAAGGACAAGTACCCCGCCATCACTCACCTGAAATTCCTTGCCAGAGACATGTCGGAGCAGGTGAGCTGCGGCTGCCTTTCTTGTGACTCCCCCAGCTTCCCCTCTGAGGCCCCTTACAGTTTCCAAGGCACTTTCCCCACAGCAGCCTGATCCTGTTGATGGCTGCAGGTATTATCATCTCCATCTCTTTGATGGAAAGCTAAAGCTCAGGGAGCCCCTTAGCTCCCCTGGGATCCAGTTTCTTCATGGGGAAAATGAAGATGAGAAAAGATCAGGAAGGTGATCTCTAAGGTCCCTTCCAGGTCTTAATATTCTACTCAACACAACACATATTTATCAAGTGCCTCCGTGCGGCCAGCGCACTGAAGTTATGCAGACAAGATGGAGGATGGCCCTTGCCCTCAGGGAGCTTACATTCCTTTGGAGAGGAAGTACAACCTATATGCAAACATGTAAACACAAGGCAGACTAGAACGGAAAGTGCATTGACCCCAAGCCTCATAGAGGAATTGGTTCCTGGGGAGAGGTGTCTCCCAGGGAGAGAAGGATGGGAAAGGCAGAGACTGTGAGGGAGGGCACTGCGGGCATGGGGCACAGCCTAGGCAGACGCACGGAGGCAGAAGATGGCACATGGAGTTAGGGAATGACTCAAAGTCCAGTTTGCCTGCAAAGCATAGAGGATGGGAAGGGGAATAGTATGAAAATAGAGTAGAAAGGTAGGTTGAAGCCAGGTTCTGGGGGCCCTAAAATGCCAGGCCGAGGAATTCCTATTTTATTCTCTTGGGAGTCACTGAGCAGAGGACTGATGTGGTCAGATGTGCACCTCAGGAGGGTTATTCTGGGAGCTGAATGAGGGCTGAATCAGAGAGGAGACCAGGTCGGAGTGCAGGAAGAGTGGTGAGGATCTCATCTCAGGTGGTGCCTCTCTTGAGTGGAGAGAATGTTACAGGTAGAATCTGAAGGACTGAGCAGCTGATTAGAGTCGAGAAGTTCAGTTGTGGAGGACTAGCGGATGGGCTCTGTGACCTGGCTTGGTTACCAGGTGGCAGGAGGCTCCGCCCTTTCACTTCTGGGCTGGGTCAGAAGCCTGAGGGCTGTGGCTGATTCGCCTTGGGGCCAGCTCCCTTGACCTCTACCCCGCAGGTGCTGCTGTGTGCGTCCAATCAAATGAACAGCATCGTGGAGTGCTGGTCCTTGCGCAAGGAGGGCCTGCCTGTGAACAACATCTTCCAGCAGATCTCCCCTGTGGGTGAGTTTCCTTCCCAAGTGTCCCTTCAAAAAGTTGTGACCCTCTGCCGCTAAAAAGCGTCTGAGCCCTCGCCCCAGGGAACCAAAGGGAAGGGGCTCCGTTTGTTGGGGCATTTTTAATTAATATGTTTCTCACGTAAACATGCTCAGTTTTGAAAGTGAACTTTAACATAGAATGATAATAACTTCTTAGGTACTTGGTCAGTCCTGTTCTGTTGTCCATTTACCTGGCATTTGGGTAGTCGTTTTCCATTTTTGTATTAATACTGAATGCATCTACTCATCTTTTGGTTATGCTTCCTTTGAAGGAACCTTAGAGATCATTTAATATAACTGTCTGCTTCCTCCTCAGCCCTTTTATAGGTCAGGAAATGGAGGCCTGCAGAGGGAATGGGTTTCCAGGGTCACGCCCATAGCAGAGCTGAGATTTGAACAGTCTTTCTAATTCCAAATCTGTTGCTTTTCCGCTGTATTGATGGCCTGACTCTTTTCCTTTATATTCCTTAAATTTGTCATTCTTAATTTCATTATATTCCTTTATGTTTGCATACTACAATTTACTCAGTTATTCCCCAACAGTTAGACATTAAGTTGTTTCTAATTCTGTTATTATGGAAATACTGCTTTAAATCTCTATCTATATCTTTTTTTTAAACAAAAAAGTTTTAAAAATTATTTTATTTGGTTATATTCCTAGTAATAGGATTTGGGGGTCAAAGGATATGGTTATTATTTATTATTCTTATGTATCGTAAGATTGCTTTCCCAAAGGACTCTAGCCATTCCACTAGCAACCTATGAGTGTGCCTGTTTTTCATAGCCTTATCAACATTAAGTTTGATGATTTTTAAAAAAAATTCTGCCAGTTTGATAGCAAGATGGTACCTCAGAATTATTCATTTGTATTCATTAGGAAGACTGGATTTTTTTCTGAGTGAATATTTGTAATTTTTGCATTCTGTTTTCTAAATTGTCTCTTCATATGCTTTGACAGTTATCCTTTGGTTGCTGGCAGTACAAATTAGGAAGATTTTGTGTCCAGGCCACGTGATGGAGTGTACATCTGTTGTATGAGGCCCAGTCGAGATAAGCCCAGAGCAGCTTTACACCTGGTTGGACACAGGATGATGACTTTTAGGCGTGACCATCTCTGGGGTTTTCAGGAGCTGTGCTCTGCATCTCAGGGAGTCTTCTCCAGACTAAAAAGCTCCAGTTTCTTAATTTGATCCTCATGATATGATATGGAGCCCCTTTATTATTCTGGAGCCCCTGCTCTGGACCCTTTCCAACTTATCAGTGGCCTCCCTAAAATGTAGCGCCCAAAGCTAACAGCACTTCACAGGTGTTCTGACCAGGTCTGAGGACAGTCGGACTGCCACATGTTTGGTCTGGGTCACTGTGTGTCTCATGACGGACTAAGAACATATTAGCTTTTGACTCATTTGGAGCTTGTGTTCCATTAAAACCTCCAGATCTTTTTTCAGAGGAACCATTGTCGCTCACACTCTCCCAGCTTGGGTGGCTTTGCCTTCTTCTATGTGGTCCTCATGTTCCCGCTCTATATCACCTGTGCTTGGCTTCTAGGACCCAGGAGCCTGAACATCCTCAAATCTTACGGGCCTGTTTATGACAATTCCTATTCCTACTACCTTCCCCACTAAAAAAAAATTTTCCCGTGGGTTCTTGGCTCAGCTACCCCTCCTCCTTTTCCATCTGACCAATGATGCCATCTACCAAAGCTATACCTCTTCCCTTTTAATACATGTGTACAATGACTGCAGGAGACTCACACTACCCCATCCCCTATACCCTGGGCCCCTAGCTTCTGCCCTCATGGTGGGTCCTCTGTCTCTTTATTCCCTCTGGCTCTCGATTCTTCAGAGTGGCTTTGGGCCCCTGTATTCATATCCGGTTCCGTCTCCTTCCTCTTCCTACAATGACAGAAGAATTCCTGGCCTTGAGATGGTTTGTTTATGATGCATGTTTTGATCTGAAGATCTATTCCATTTGATAGTAAACCACCTTTTACTCAGAAGAACCATTGTCTAGCCATGCTACCCCCATCTTGTATTTGTAAAATTAAGCTCTTGAAACTTTATGTTTATCCTTATTCAATTTAAATTTCCTAGATTTGACCAAGTTATTCTAGCCCCTTGTGATCTTATTAGAGCCTTATTGTTATCCAGACTGTTAGCTATCCCTTTTTTGCTTTGTGGTGTCTGATAATATAATAAAACCTGTGCCTTTATCCAGGTTATTGATAAAAATGTTTAGCAGTATAGGGCCAACCACAGATCTGTGAGGAATACCATTAAAGACTTTTTTCCAAATTGGCATTGACCCATTAATGGGCTGGCTATGCAGCCAGTCCTTAACCCCCCTAAATCTACCATCCCCTAGTCCAGATCTTTCCATCTTGTTAAGAGATTAGTACGAGGGGGGCAGCTAGGTAGCACAGTGGATAGAGCACTGGTCTTGGAGTCAGGAGAACCTGAGTTCAAATGCGGCCTCAGACACTTACTAGCTATGTGACCCTGGGCAAGTCAGTTAACCCCAATTGTTTCATAGAAACTTTGTCAAACACGTGGCTAAAATCCACGTAACAGAACTTACCTCAAAGCCAGGAAGACCTCTGGTGCATGCTGGTTTTGTGACCTTGGGAAGTCTCAGTGTCCTAGACATTTCTCTGAGTTGCTCTTACATCAGTAGAGGGAGTTTCCTCACCTGAAAGTTCTCTGTGTCAGTGAAATCACAGGTCAGATCCCTGTCCCCATTCCTGCGTATCTAGTGACCTTATTAAAAAAGGAAATGATGTTCGTCTGGCACGACCCACGTTCTCTGGAGCTCAGCTGGCTCTTCTTTTGTGTGTCCTTTTCCAGAGATTGCACCAGTCTCTTCATCTCTCCAGCCCCTAGTCCCTCCAGTTACAAAAATGGTGGGTGGGGTTCTTGGGTTAAATGGCCTTGGAGCCCACTACCATCCTTTACTATTAGGTTCTAGAATTTTATCAGGAATTGGAGTTGAGTTGGCCAATCTGTAGTTTTCAGACTCTGTTCCCTTCCCTTTTTTGATAACCAGGGCATTTAACCTTCTTCAGTCCTGGGGCAGTCCCCCATTCCTCACACTCATTCAGGATCTCTGGGAGCGAGTCCTTCCCCCGTCACATTCACCGGTTCTTTCAGGCCTCCGGGATGTGATTTGGCCAGGCAGGGTGACTGGAACCCTGTGGTCATCGGAGCAGCCACTTTCTTAAGTGCTCTCTTTCTCTCTCTGCTTTATCTTGATTTTTAGCTCATCATTAGCCATTTTTTGGTTCTGCCCTTTTCAGTCCAGAGATCGTTTTCCACAGCAGACAAAAAAGCAGTGCTGAACAGTACTGGTTTCTATGTGTCACCCATGTTCCTCGTGCCTTCCACTCAGAGAGCCATCTTGACCCTTTTCAGGGGGCACCTTGTTTTGTTCCCCCAGTACCAGTTAAAAAAAGAAAAACAAAATTCACTGACTAATAAACTTTTTTGTTATCCTGGGCTTTTCTTGCTTATTTTGAATTTAGCCCTCCTGACACTAATTCTTTTAAAAAATTTTTAATAGTTTTTTATGTTAAAACTTTTTTTAACAATTTAAATTTTTAAAAAATCACTTTTCATTACCTAACACAACCTTTCCCCTTCTCATCCCCCACAACTCATCTCTTGTAACAAAGAATGAAAGGGGGGAAAATGGGGTTAAATAACACTCACCAAACTGACTGAAGTGCTTCTGCTCTGCAAGCAGGGGCAGGAGGTGCATTTCTTTCGTCTTTTCTCTGAAGCCACATTATCTTTACACAGCCTCTAGTTTGGCTTTTGATTTTTCCATTTATGTTGTTAGTGTTTGTATTGTTTTCTTGGCTCTGTGTATTTCACTCTGTATCGGTTCAATTTCAGTCTTCCCGAGCTTCTCTGAATTATTCATGTTCATTGTTTCTCAGCCTTGTACATTATGCGCTGTTTGTAACATGCATGTACATGACATTCATATGCCATACTTCCCCAATCGATGGCTGTCTTCCTATGGGACCTCACCCCACCTCATCATCTTTTAAAACTCTAAGTTGGTTCATATATAAACATTGGTCTCGTTAAGCAACGCCTCTTCCCCCTGGTCAGAATTATTTTTCTTGGTGGGTGTCAGAATCTCATTCTTTAAGTTTTCCCACTTCTGCCTTCTTGTGGGATCCTTCCTGTCCTTTCTTTGGACTCTCATCCAGTTCTGCTTCTTGGACATTTAGAGGACTTGTCAGGCTGCACCCTTTCCCTCTGCTTTGCCCGATTCTGAGATGAGCTGGTCACATCCCTGTGAGTGCCCCATTCCTTTGACTTCACAATCAGGGCATCTTTACAGTAGCAGGCCAGCTCCTTGCTTCCTTATTATCACTAAGGCGGCCCAAGACATTATCAGCTTCTCTGCTTTGGGCAGCAAGAGAGTGCCAACAAATGCCTGGATAACTGAAGCTCATTACGATCCATGCCAGACTTGTTACCTGTTTCCCAGACTCATCTGGAGGTTCATCGTGCACTCCAGTGTTTCAGTAGTGCAGAGAGTACTGGGTCTGGAGTCAGAAGAGATCTGGGTTTGATTCTTACCTTTGACATTTAATAGTGTCACGCTTAATCTCTCTCGGCCTCAGTTTCCTTCTGCAACATGAGGATTGCAGCACTTGTTTTCAAGGTTATCGTTACTGTCAAATGAGATAATGTATTTAAAGCTAGGTGACACAGTGGATAGAGCACTGAGTCTGGAATCGGCAAGACCAGAATTCAGATCCCAGCCTCTGACACTTACTAGATGAGTAGGTCACTTAACCTCTGGTTCTGTTTCTCCATCTGTAAAATGGGGATGGTATGAGCACCTCAAAGCTGGTGTGAAGATTAAAGAAGTTAACATTTATAAAGCACCTAGCACAGTGCCTGGCACACAGTAGGTGTTATATAAATGCTAGCTGTTGTTGTTGTTATAGAATACTTTAAAATGTTATGTAAATGTCAATTATTGTCATTCTTAACCCGAATGCTCCTCTACCTTGCTTCCTTCCATTGGCTTCTTCATTTCTTCAAACAAGTGTACTCTTCCTCCTTTCCTGTTCCTTTTGATTAAGGTATGCCCTTTGAAAGCCATCTTGCAGTCGTTATCCACCCAAGTCTCAGTAAAAACTATAACATCAAACTCATTTCCATATGTCGCATGAATTGTTCAGCTGTTGTTCAGTCGTTTCCAGTTGTGTCTGACTCTTTGTGACCCCATTTCGGGTTTTCTTCTCAGAGATGCTGGAGTGGTTGGCCATTTCCCTCTCCAGCTCATTTTACAGATGAGGAAGCCGAGGCAAACAGGGTTAAGTGACTTGCCCAGGGTCACATAGCTAGGGAGTGTCTGAGGTCAGATTTTTGTTTGTTTTTTGTTTTTGTGTTTGAGGCAACAGCTAGTAAGTGTTACGTGTTTGGTCTGAAGCTGGATTAGAACTCGGGTCCTCCTGACTTCAGGGCTGATGCCCTATCCACTGCTGAGATGAGATTTGAACTCAGCAAGAGAAGTAAGTGTTCCCTACTCCAGGCCTGGTGCTCTGTGCACCACGGCGCCACCTAGTGGCCGTAATTGTTCAACCAGCTACTGCCAGTTAAGCCAGCATAAATCTGAAACAGTTGTTGGAAATGTGTGTCATTCACCTTTAGGCTACTGGTATTTATAAGTTAAATGGTGTATAATAATAATAATTAAATGATACATTATTCCCAAAAGGTGGTTGCCCAGAGCTGGTCATACAAATTTTAGAAAGGTGCGTTCATTCAGGAGAATGGAGGCAGAGGAAGACGTTTCCTTGTTAGGAGAGTTAGGAGAGCTGGGGGCACGCACTCAGGAGCCTGCTGCCCGTCTAGATAGAAGAGGGTAGCGGCAGTACTCTCTGCATTACTGAATCACTCGAGTGTGCGACAAATCTCCATGTGGGTTTGGGAAACAGGTAACAAGCTTGGCATGGATCGTAACGAGCTTCAGTTATCCCGGCATTTCTTGGTGCTCTCTTGCTGCCCAAAGCAGAGAAGCTGATATGTCTTAGGCTGCCATACTGATAATAAGGAAGCGAGGAGACTTGCTCTTGTGGGCCTGTCACCAATAAAGAAGCCCTAATTGTGATGTTAAAGGAATGGGGAATTCACAGCTTTTTTAGCAGTTTAGTCTTTGTTTGGTTGGGTTGTTTTTTTGGTAGGCAGGGGGTTAAGTGACTTGCCCAGGGTCACACAGCTAGTGTTAGATGTCTGAGGCTGAATTTGAACTCAGGTCCTCCTGCCTCCAGGGCCGACGCTCTACCCACTGAGCCACCCAGCTGCCTCAGCAGTTCAGTCTTTTTGTACCAGTTGAGGGAGGAAAGGAGGCCCTGAAAGGAGGCAGCTGTTGCAGCTTACCCTACAGTTCATGCAGGGATCAATCATACACAGCAAAATTGCAAGTGCAGAACAAAATGGAGTCAGTTTTGTTCTTTGGACATAGGTGTCAGGGTTTCTAGTTCACTCTCCTTGCACCTGCATGTAGACATCTGAGTCTGTGGGCTGGCTTTACAGTAGCTCCTTTCTTGGATTCGGTCTTCTCTGAATTTCTTGCTGTCTCTACAGCTGCTTTGCTACTTTTCAGCTGTTCTCTCTCGCCCCAAATTAGCTTGGTGAATATATGTGTAGCACCCCTTTGGATTACACTTGTAAGATTCCAGGCAAATGCTTTTTTACTGGCATTTGTTAAGGACACTCTGGCCCTGGCTTCATTCCTGTATTTTAAGCAGTGGTCCAGAAAGCCAAATCCCATTCTCAGACATCATCTTCAGAACCAGTGGTTCACTTTCTGAAGCTTCCTTTCTCCTCCCAAGATCTTGCCTCCTTTTGGTGGCAGGGATGAAAACACTACCAGTTTCTGATCAGTGAAGTGAGGTCACAGTACCGTGTCCCTCACAGGGTCATTGTGAAATTTGGGCTCTGTAAATTTGGTCACACTGGAGACCAGCTACTGGTAGGTGTTATTGTATTCCCAAGTGATCTACTCCTCTTCCCCCAAATCATTCAGTGTTTTTCCGATCCAACCCCCAATGTTGCCTTTTGCCATCCTGCCCCCAGGGCATCCTCATTCAGCAGTGCCCTCCTCCATTGCCCTGACCTGGCCACCCCAGCTTGATGTGATCTTTTCCTTCTGTCCTCCCATCGCATTTTGTACTCCTCTTATTCATTTGTAGTTGAACTTTCGTTGTGTTTAAGCACATAGCTTAACCCTTCCTCCTCAATTGTAATCCTTGAGGACCAGGCCTCTGCATTATCTTCCAGTCTCTCCCAGTGCCAAGCACTGAGCCCTGCACCCCTCACCCCCACCCCGGGTACTCAGTAGTTAAATATTCAGTGAACGAATGTATGCCTCCCAGTGCTCAGGACTCTTGGCACTTTCCATGTAATGGGATTAAAATGAAACAAGCCCATGTCCTTTTTCCCTGCCCTTTTTCCCTCCACCCCCGAACCTAAGCAGTGCTTTGGTGTGTTTTTGAAGGCACAGATGTAAACACTGAATTAGAGAGGCTGCTTTCTCTTAGTGGTAATGGCTGTTCTGAGCTTTCTGAATGCTGAAGAGCCAAGCACTTGTGACCCCTCCAGATGGCCTGAAGAGGTTGTGGGCTGGCTCTCTGGGCTGCCCTCCCTGCTTCCACTTCCATGGGACCCAGTGTAATTAATGTGAGAGAGGACAAGCTTTGCTTCCTTAATGACACTGCACAGCTCCAGGATCATTTGCCAGTTCTTATGTGCTCTCTGGTCTGCTGTTCCGGGAAAGAGCCCAGGGCCGGGTCTTTGAGCTTCAGTCACATTAAGTAACACATGACTCATGCCATCCGCCTCAAGCGCTCTGTTTGTTTTCTTCTTTCTGTTGCTGTATTTTAAGTCGGAGACAAACAGCCGATGATCCTCAAATGGCGCATTCTGTCAGCGACCAACGACCTGGACCGCGTGTCTGCTGTGGCCCTGCCCAAGTTGCCCATCTCGCTCACCAACACCGACCTGAAAGTGGCGAGTGATACCAAATTCTGCCCTGGCTTAGGTATGGCGTCGGCCGCGATGTCGCGTTCCGTATGCTACACACACTCTCTCACGCTGACCCACGCCTGGCGTGGACACGAGGGGCCCCTTGACAGGAAGCTGCTGGCATCCGCAGTGATTCCTGGGCAGGCATCTCAGAGGTTTGTGAATTTGGATGGGGGAGAACAAACCTGACACCTTTATTTTCACTAACCTCTCATTGAAATTTAACATTTCCTTCAGTTATTTCTAACTCTTCTTCTGAGAAGGAATCTGTACGTTTTACCAGACTGCCACATATGATGGAGCCTGTGTTAGCAGGAAGAAGCTTTGGGGCCAGGGTTAAACATAGTAGCTGACCCTTAAATAACACTTTTCAGGGTATAGATCATGTTGCATTGTAATAGCTTTGTGAGGTGAGGAAGGAGTGCAGTATTATTATACCCATTTCATGGAGGAGGAAATTCAGTGTGGTTAAATGGCTTATGAGATCGTAGGATTTAGAATGGGACCTTAGAGTCCTAACCCCTCTTTTTCTAGATGAGGAAATTGAGGCCCTGGAGAATGGAAATAACGTGCCCAAAGTCATAACCAGCTTCTGGCCCCGGTCTCCTAACCACTCCACATCTGCTGCATCCGGAACCCCTCCTAAAAACCAGATAAAGTTTTCAGTGTGTTGGATGGAGCCACAAGAAAAAAAGAAAGAAATCCTTGTTGGGCGAATAGGAGCCTGTGCTGGGGCTGCCAGTGTGAGGGCCAGCCAGACTTGGCCTCTCCAGAGGCAGTGTCAGGTGATTCTCTGGGCCAAGTGCGAGGTGTCTGTCTGTCTGCCCCTCAGAGCTAGAGATTGGTGGCCAGGGAGGGGAGGGGAGGGACTGCTTCATCCACCACTTACTGTTGGGCCTTTGTCACTGACAGCCTGGGAAGAGGCTGGGAAAGGACCTAAGCACTCTCTGACTCAGTGGTTTGATAGCTGGCTATGCCACGCTGCCTTTTTTTAATTCTTTGTTTTGAGGGATGCTTCACTGGTGGGGGAGGAAGGAAATGTTTGGCAATGAAACTTAAGTAAACACCAGAGGTGGCAATAAGAGGGAAAAGAATAGGAAATGTCGCTTTCAAGGGGAGACCAAGTTTCCCCTAATTCTAGGGCTACGGGGTCCATCCTCTTGGCCTGAGGCACTCAGAGGTCCCTCAGGCTGAGAGGGCAGTTTCACACAATTGCCTTGTCATCGGTCCCAGAACAGAGTCATTTGCACTGAACAGCTGCCCTCTGGGCACGGGAGGATGCCAAGCATCGCCACACTGCCGTGATACCCCCCTGCCACTGCTGCCTTCCCACTGACCAGCTTCCTGGAAGAGATCGAGCTGGGATCCCGGGCCCTCCATCTGCGCCCTTCCCAAGCGCTGGGGGATTGTTGGGCTCCGAGTCTCTGCACAGTGGGTCTTTACCAGGCCTGGCGTCCAGTCTAATGACACTGTTTCATCCTTCCATTTCCTAGCTGGACGCCACCCTGCAAGGTGCTTGGCAGCTGAGTCCAGCTCCTTTTGCCAGTCAGGCTGGCCGGTTCTGTTCCTGTTCCTGGCTGATGCTGACACTTTCCAGAGTTTCCCCAGTCTGCCTCTTTGTAACTCCCCACCTCCCCCAAGCATGGATCCTTGTTCTCCGGTATCACACAGATTTAACGGTCTTTTTCGAGAGTCTGCTCTGTTGTCTCACGGCCTGATGTGGAGTGACCCTCGACTCCTGAGCCTTTTCCTTGGCATTACCTTTCCTAGACAGAGAGGGTGGATTGTGGGTTTTTCTGAGAACCATTCTGCCAGTGTAGAGGATTCAGATTCAGCCACAGGAGCTCATTAGAAAGACTACTTCCCAGGGAAGGGACATGACTGGGAGAGAAAGTAAGAAAAAAAAGACCATCTACAAAGGCATAGAGGGGTTATAGAGTGTGACAGACCTTTGAGATTGGGCCTGACCTCCTCAGAAGTTGGCATGGCCACACTTGTATTCCAGAAAGAAAGCACAGTAGGGGCGCACGGGACATGGATTTGAATGCTGGCTCAGTCATTTACTACCAGTGTGACCCTGGGCAAGTCACACAGTGAGCCTCTCTAGGTCTCAGTTTCCTCATCTGCAAAATGGGCTGGGGGAGAGGGGGCTGAGGAAGGGAGGCGGGGCAGGGTTGTGCCAGGCCCTCTCTGAGATCCTTTGGGCAGCTGTGCGGAGGCTGGATTGGAGAGTGAAAGGATGGCTTCTTCAGACCTTTGGCAGGGCCGATGTGACATTCGGAGTCAGAAGTCCTGTGTCTTGGTGGTCCCTCAGCTTTCTGGAATACAGGCGTGGCCATGTTGATACCTTCAGGATCAGGAAGCTTCACTAGCTCCCTATTGCCTCTAGGATAAAAGTCTAGAGATGCCTTAGCTTGGCATTTAAAGCCCTTTCCAGGGGGCTCCATTCTCCCTCCCCAGATGTCCTTCTGCCCACTCCCCTGCACACCGGCCACATTGCTGCCAAACTGGCCTGTTTGCTGTCTCCTCCTGCTGGCTTTCTGTCCCTCATTGCTGGAACAAAATCCTTCCTTACTCTGCATTGTATTAACTTCCTTCAAGGCTGAGGTCAGGTGCCACCTCTTAGGAAAAGTGTTTTCTGATCCCTCCAGGGCAGGGCTTCTTCACCTTCTCTGTGTCCTAGACCCTTTTGACCTTCCCACAATTGTTTTAAATGAGTAAAATAAAATACGTAGTATTAGGGAAGATATCAATTCTATTGAAATAAGAAATTATCAAGATAGTAAGAGAGCAAGTTCTTGGTCTCATTAGTATCCTCACCCTCCTCAAATGTCTTGTATTTACTTATTTGAGTAAGTGCAGTGTTTCTCCCTCCTCCCCTGCCAGTTCAGTGTGAGGTCATAAGGTCACAAGGTCACAGGTTTAGAGATAAAAGGGTCCTCTGAGGACATCCAGCCTAACTGCCTCATTTTACAGATGAGGAAACTGAGGCCCAGAGGAGTAACATGATGCCCAAGGTCTCACAGGTCTTTGAGCACAAGGGCGGGCTGGGTGTCAGTGTCTCACCTATAGTAGGCAGACCCCAAATGAATTCCCCCAAAATGATGTAGAAGGGACTGTTCACACTCTCCAGGGAGTGACGGCATGAGTGTGAAGACAAGACGTTTGTGCCCAAAGTCATTCAATAACTCTGGAAGGCCAGAGGGACTCCCCAGGGTCCACCAAGTCAGGCCACTGGGGTTTGAGGAGGTGGGACTGGAGCTGACCCTTGAAGGACAGCTGTCACTTAGGGAGGGGAGAGGGCAGGAGTGAACATCGTGTGTCTTTGGGGGGCAGTGACTCAATCAGTGAATTGAATTTCCTCAGTCCTCCTCCCCCTGCCATAGATATGTGTTGAGTCATCCCAGCTTTGATCACGTCTCCACGTCTAGCCTATTCAGTAATAATAGGTTGTCTCTGGGAATTACAGGGCAAACAGGAGATTTTAGGTGGCCTGCAAGATACCTGTAAAATGGGGGATTAGGCTGGGTGGTCTCCAAGGGCCCTTCTCTGCACCTGTGATCTCACATGTCTGTATGTGTGTGGTCATCAAGGCTGCCTGTCAGTAAACATATAAAAGAAAAAGTTTTAAGAACTTTATGGAGCCTTACATGCCACCTCCTGGCAGCCATGTAGTGCCATGAGGACACTGCCACCGACAGCTTGGTCTGGGTTCTAATCAGCTCTGCTGCTAACCTTTGGCACATTACTGCTTCTCTTGGGCCTCAGTTTCCTCATCTGTAAAATGAGGAACTTGGGTCAGATTCAAGGGCCTTGCTCCTCCTCTGAGATGCTTGTCTGGTTCTGAGACCCCGATTGTTTCTCCTGTCCCAGGTCTGGCACTGGCCTTTCACTGATGGCAGCGTCCACATCGTCCATCGACTCTCTCTGCAGACGATGGCCATGTTCTATGGCTCTTCCACCCAGCGCCCCGTGGACGAACAGGCCATCAAAAGGCAGCGGACCGCCGGCCCCTCCATCCACTTTAAAGCTATGCAACTCTCCTGGACCTCACTGGCGCTTGTAGGCATCGATAACCATGGAAAGGTAATTGTTTCCTGTCCAGTAAGCCCTGCCTTAGTAGGGAATCAGCCTCCTCAGGTCCTGCATTCCCACAGAACCTTGTAGGATGACTTTTCTCTAGGAGACCACGGGGTCCATAGACATTATAGGAAGGTCTCCTTCACTGCATGACTAGAATATGAGGACCATATCTGAGGAGTGGAAGGAAACACGCATTTATTAAATGCCTGTTATGTGCCAGGCACTAGGCTAAGTGCTTTACAAATAATTGTGAGGCCGGATTTGAATTCAGGTCTTCCCGACTCCAGGCCCAGCACTGTATCTATTGTACCACCTAGCTCCCCATAAGGACAAGATCCAGTGATTAATAGACTATTTTGAAAGGGCCCCTAAAATATAGACTATCTGAGCTGGAAAGGACAGACCTTGAAGCTAATCTACTCCCCCCAACCTCCCATTTTACAGATGAAGAAACTGAGACTCGAAGCGAGCAAGTAGGATTAGAATCCAACCGTTCTGACAAGTTCTAACCCAGTGCTCTTTCAACTGTACAACACTCATTCCCTCCTTTTTTGTTGAGGGGTGGGATTAAATCACTAACTTTCCTAGTCATGACTCAGGAGCAAGGTTTCTGGGAACGGAATTTATTTAGGTATCCACCAACTTTCAGAGAAGTTGGATGAATAAATAATAAATAAAGCAATTATAAAACAATGAAACCCTGAAAAAAAAAGGGAGTAGGATGAAAGTCACAGATCAGGTTAATGGTTCTTGATTGTCTAGTTCCTGCTGGGACAGGTGGTACAAGTCCAGGGATTAGGCAGATTCCACTGAAAATGGGGGGGGAAATCCTCCCAGGGGGCCCAGGAGACTAGGTCAGGTTGGAGGGGACTTTGCTTAAACCTTAGCAAACTTAAGGCTTAAACCAAAAAGCTAAGCCAGATTGATAGTGAGGCAAAGCATGAAGATGTGAGGGCCGGTTCTCAGAATGAGGAGGATAATATACGAGAAGGACGTTGGGAGGCTGGGAAGGCCGTGGCACTGACAGTTTGTCTGCCCTACCCCAGAGCCTCACTGGGCTCAGCTCTTTACAGTGGCTGCCCACCTTCCCTAGTGGACAGGGCCTTTGTCTCTGGGCAGGCAGGGCTGGGCCTTCCTGACTCCCACATACCTCCAGCTCAGCTGTAGGCCCTACGTTTACTGTCTGAAGGGTAAAACTGCTCAAGCTCTGTCTCTCTGTCTCTATCTCTCTCTTCTTCTCCTTCTGTCTCTGTCTCTCTCCCGAGTGCATTTATTTGTTGTCTACAAAATGGAGGACTTACCCTTCCCCAGCCCATTTCAGCTTATTTGAGCTTCTGCTGATGGTCCTTAAACTTGACCAGGGTGCCGTTCAAGTTAGGTTTAAGTTACTCAACCCAGCACTTTCCTCCGGGTCTTCTGCATTGCATCGAGGTGGAGAGGTTTGGTTTCATCTTATGATGGGCTGTAAGAACTGGAAGGAACTTCCAAGGCCATCTCATATCATCCCGCGATCCAGAGTCCCTCTGACAGCGTCCCCAACAAGAGCTCTGGTGAGGGGGAGTCCCCTCCCCCCTGGGACACAAGCTGCTCTGCTTGGGGAAACCTCAGATCCTTCTATGAAGATGAAATCTGCCCTTCGGCAACCTGCATTGCTCCTCGTTTTGCTGTCAGGAACTAAGCGGAAAAGGTCTGATTCTGTTTTCACATCCCAGCCCTGGAATACTGGGTGGGGGGAGGCAGGTATCTAATTCTCCTCTGTAATTATTCCACAAATTCAGGAAACATTTATTGAGTGCCTGCTATATGCAGGGCACTATGCTAGGTGCTGTAAGTACAAAGTCAGCAAGCATTTATTAAGTGCCTACTGCATACCAGGCACTGTGTTAAGAATTGGGGATACAAAGGAAGGCCAAAGGCAGGTCCTGCTGTCAGGGAGCTCACAGTCTAATGGGAGAGACAGCATGCCAAAAGCTACATACAAACAAGCCAGATACACAGTAAATTGGGGGAAGATCTCAGAGGATAGAAAGACAAAGACCTCAAGGAACTTGTGTTCTACTGAGAGATATAACACGTATGTGCACAGTTAAGACTGATACAAAAGATGGAGAGTGACTGAGCCCAGGAGGGCTAAGGGAAGTCTTCACTGAGCAGGGACCTCTTAGCTGTACCTTGGAGCAAGATCAGAGCTGCCGAGGGAGGGAGAGGCAGGGAGGAAGGTCATGACCTTTTCGAATGTCTGATGGAGCGGTGGGCTTGGAGTCAGAAAGACCTGAGTTCATATCCTTCCTCAGCCACTTATTAGCTTTGTAAGCGGAGGCAAATTACTTTATCTCTCTATGCCTCACTTTCCTCTCCTGTAGAATGGGGAGAGTAATAGCATCCGCCTCCCAGGGTTGTCATGAAAATCAAGTGAGATAGCCAAGTGCTTGGCAAACCTTGAAATGCTGTGTCAATGCTATTGTTATTTTTAATGGTAGCTAATCTTGGTGGAAGCATGACCTAAGGTTGCAGGGCAGGGGGAGCACGGAGACTCAAGTTCTTGGTTGAGGAATTTGTATGTTCTTCTAGTAGTAGTAGTGGGGGCCATTGGAAGTTGTAGAGCAGGGAAATGTTATGGGAAGGGCCTCTGCCTCTGGGGCGTTATTTGGGTCAGGAGAGAGATGGAGTAGAGAGGAAGGAGACTGGCAGAAGGGAGCCCACCTAAGAGGTTCTCACAGTGGTCCAAAGAGAGCAAAACCTCCCGTTTCCTTCGTCTTCCTGTGCCATGTTCATGAGTCACCAGTTTCACACCGTTGACTCAGAATAGCTTGTGGTCCATAGGAACTGTCTCCTGTGGCCGCATCTCCCCTACCCTTTGTTTGTGAAATTGAATTTTAGAGCTCCGTCTGTTTTGCTTCAACCCCTCGCTCTGGTTTGTCAAGGTCTTTTTGGGTCTGGGCTCTGATGTCCACGTCAATGCTTCCTCCTGGCTTTGTGGCAGCTTCTCGTTGGATAAACCTGCTGTCCAGTCTTTCAAGCCCAACCTGTAGCTTCCTGCATGTTACTGATGTACAAAGTTGAACAGAACAGGACTGAGGCTGGCTGAGTCACTGCGCCAGAGACCATCCTCAGAGTCAGTGTCACAAAGACTGTCAGACGTTCTGCAAAGTCTAAGTATGTTCTGTCTGCAGCGTTCTCCCGATCTATCGTATCAGAAAGGGGATTGTGTCTAGTCTGGTATGACCACTTTCCTGACGAAGCCGTGCTGCTCGTCTGTGCTGAGTGCCTTTCTCCTGCGTGCTCATAAGCCATCCCCCTTAACGCAGTGCTCTGAAAGCTTGCTGGGAGCAGAGTCAAGCCCTCTGGTGTATGGGCTGCAGACTCTCCCGTCTCCCCTTCTTTGAGAGTAGTGACAGTCTTTGCCCTGTGCCATTTGTGAATACGTTTAGAAGCTCATTGACGGTGTCTCACCAGTCATCTGTGGCCGTTTTTTCCAGTTCTCTAAGGTGGCTTTTAGCTAAGTCTGGTAGCCTGAAGTAATCAGAGGCAGCTAGCAGCCATATAGCTTTCTGACTCTCGAAAGTTTGCTACCTCTTTACTTCCCGAGGGTCCTGCTCCCTGCTGACCATTTTTGTTGTCTCCTTTCCAAAGAGCGTTTTTCTTGGGAGGAGAAGAATCGCGACCATTTCTGTATGTTGCTCCCAGGTGTGCAAAGCACTTTGCAAATAGCATGTTGTTGGATGCTCATTACAGCCCTGGGAGGGAGGCGCTATTATTATTCCCGTTTTCACAACAGTGAGGAAACTGAGGCAGAGAGAAATGAAGTGACTTGTACAGGGTCACAACCAGTAAGTGACAGAGGCTGGATTTGAACCCGGGTCCTCCTGACTCCAGGCCTGGTGCTCCGAACCACCAGAAGGACAGAAACAGAAGAAAAGCCAGACAGTGAGGCTGTTGGCTATCGTCTGTTATCATCTCGTCCACCAGAGTGGCGGTCTCTTCGCTTTTTTGATGCTTCTTTGTCCCCACCTTGATGCCAAAGGCTTTTTTTCCTTGGTGTTCTTTCCTGGCCTCAGCCCAGTGTGGCCTTGAGGTCTCCTGACACAGTTCCTCCAGGGCCTGCTACTTTGGAAAATTCATCTTCAGTTGTTTCTCTTCACTTCGTCTCCCGTACAGGGCTTTGTTAAATTAGAGTTTGTTAGGGATTTTGTTGTAGTTTGACATTGGTCTCCTTAGGCAGCTCCCCTTTGGATGATTTCCTCCTTAGAGTCATTTCTGTTCCAGTTTTCCCCTTACTGGAATATCCTGGACTTTTCTGACGCTGACAGATTTTGTTGTTTCCTTCGACCCCTTGGGATGTTATTGCTCTGGGCCTTTCCCTAAGGACATTTACATGGTGTCCAGAGATCCTGGGCCTTGAGGAGCCTGTCCTCTACAGGCCACTGGAAGGGCAGTAGCATTTTCAGAGGCTGGTGGACAGCCCACTTCAAGAGAGCCCTGAGAACTCCTTTTCTTACATTCACATGCAGATTTATCATTGTTAATCATGAAGGCAGCTCTGCCCATTAGTGTCTGTGGGACTGCAGACAGGTCACTTCCCTTCCGGGGGCCTCAGTTTCTTCATATGTAAAATTAGGAGGCTGGCCTAAATGATCTGAGAAGTCCCTTCTGTTTCTCATTCCATGATCCTCTGTGCCCCCGGTCACTGGAACCGACTGTGACTGTGTCACTCTCCTCCCACCCGCTTGCCATTTTATCTCGTTCCGCATTGCTTGGTCCTTTTCAGAGGCTTGTGGTTCCGTCTGGTTTGTCCAGTGGTTCATCAGCTGTTTGCCCTCTGGGCCCCCCAGCATCTCTCTTGTGCTAGACAGTCTCAGAGGTTCCCTCCACTGCCGCCTTTCTCTGTCGCTCTTGCTTTACCAGGTTGGTTCCCCACATAGGTGTTGTAGGTTGTCCTTTCCGTTCCACACCGCGCAGACTACAAACCTCTGCTCTTCCTCTTGCGTTGTGATGCATAGATCGTCATGGGCAGCACCACGGAAGTCACCGTTTCTGCCCTGAGAGTTGTGAGCGTCTCCTCTTTAGTCATCATAACTGTGTATGTGTGGCTGGAGAGAATCCGGGCTGCTTTAACTCTTCTGGTCTGATGCCTGTGGTCTCATAGTGCAGACCTTCCACTCCTTGTTTGACCAGGGTTCCCTTGAGTGTGTTTTCTGTTGATGGACTGATAGAGAAATCTCTTAAAGGAGAAGGTAGGGAAAGATGTCCATGGGTAAGGGAGATGTGGGCTCTGTAGCATTCTATATAACAACAACAAGAAGTAGCATTTATACAGTGCCTACTGTGTGCCAGGCACGGGGCTAAGTGCTTTACAGATTTATCTCATTGGATCTTCACAACAGCCCTAGGAAGTAGGTGCTATTGTAATCTCCATTTGACAGATGAGGAAACTGAGGCAAACAAAGATTAACCAACTTGCCCCAGGTCACCTCGCTAGTAAATAAATGTCTGAGGCTGGATTTGAACTCAGCTCTTCCTGACTCCAAGCCCAGCACTCTGCCTTTTTCATATGCCTAGTTCAAGCTGCCCAGAAGCCGCTGCCTCCCCACCTTCAGAGGCCATCGGGAGCTCTCTGGGTTATCGGAGAGGAGGCGCCTGTTCCTGGGTGTGCTGGCCCGGATCACCCTCAGCCCCTGCCAGGGCTGACACTCTCCATTTCTGAAAGAGCAGTTTCACTCTCTGTAGACAATCCAGGAGAGCGCCGAGGAAGTGAAACTGCCTCATTGGGTGCCCAGGGCACAGAGGGACCCAGGTGGTTCAGTATTAAATATTTGTTAAAACTGAGGGGGGACGTGGGAGTCCTCTTTCTGTATCTTCCTTGGTTACTGAAAGTCTTTACCAAATGTCTTCGTTCACTTTCCTCACTCCGAAGGAAGGTCTGACTGAACTCTGAACTGTCAGGGGAGGGTCTTTTGTCTCAGGTCACCCCTCAATTGTGTGTTGCTAACTTGCTGTGTTACCTTGGACAAGTAACTGAATGTCTCTGATCCTGTCTCATAGAGTTGTGGTCACCTTTGTACTTTACTGTCAAGCCTGGTCAAGTCAGGTGCTTTATAAAAACCCGCTGTGTGCCGAGTACTGTGCTCAGCCCTGGGAAGGCAAAGGATGGTCCCTGCCCTCGAGGGGCTCACAGTCCGGTGGGACAACAACGTGCAGGATGTTTTCTGTAGCACTTAAAATTCACAGAACACTTTGCTGAGGACAGTTCGTGAGGTGAGTTAGTGTAAGTCATAGTGTACCCATGTCGTGCGTGAAGAAACTGAGGCTTGTAGAGGCTAAACCGGGGCTATTGAGCGTAAGGACCAGTATCAGATCGGCCTTCTGACCTCTCCACGGCACATGCCTCTGCTGCTGCTGCGCGTCCCAGACGGTGCTGCACAAATATCAGGAGGATGATTAAAGGCTTCAACAGGGGATTTTGTCTTCTCCCGCCAGCTGAGCATGCTCCGCGTCTCGCCGTCCATGGGCCACGCCCTGGACATGAACATGTCCTTGCGCCATCTGCTCTTCCTGCTGGAGTACTGCATGGTGACGGGTTACGACTGGTGGGACATCCTGCTGCACGTGCAGCCCAGCATGGTGCAGAACCTGGTGGAAAAGCTGCACGAGGAGTACACGCGTCAGAACGCCGCGCTGCAGCAGGTGAGCGGGGCCGCGGGGCCTGTGGCCCGGGGATGGCCGGCCGGCTCCGGGAGGCGTCCGGATTCCGGCAGGCCTCCTGGAGCGCTGTGTCAGGTTTGGAGGGTGGTGGTTAGCATACCAGCCTGGGAGGCTGTTCACCAAGTACGGTACAGAAAATTAAGGCGTTGACTCACTCTGCAAAACTGCCCCTTTGTCACACGCTGCTGGCCGTGGGCTTACCAGCGTGCGTGGTACTTAGTCTATAATGTGGGCTGTTTCCGGGTTAGCTATCCTGCCTCCTCCATTAAGTCAAATGACCTGGGATCAAAGTGTTTGGCTTCTCTGGGCCTCAGTTTTCTGCTCTGTAAAATAGAGGGTCTTGGACCCCAGGGCTTCTTCACCTCTTTTGTGTCCTGGGCAACTTTGGCAGCCAAGCGAAGCCTGTGAGCCCCTGAATCTCAGAACCATGGGAGGGGGGTTTGTTTTGTTTTTGAGGCAGTTGGGGTTAAGTGACTTGCCCAGGGTCACACAGCTAGTAGGTGTCTGAGGCTGCATTTGTGCTCTGGTCCTCCTGACTTCAGGGCCCGAGCTCCATTTACTGCACCACCTAGTTGCCTCGGAATCACTTTTTTTTTGTTGTTGGTTTTTAATACATAAGATAAAATGCATAACATTACAAAAGGAAACCAATTCTGTTGAATTAAACATGTCATTTTTTTCCCATCCAAGTTCATGGATCCCTGAAATCTCTTTGTGGTCTGGATGACTGCTAAGTTTTTTTTCCAGCTTATCTATTGTACATTCTGTGTAGGTTCATGGAAAGATAAGGATATTCACTACTCTAGCGTAGGGGATGCTGGACCTTTTTAGTGACCTGCCCATGACAGTAATGTTTTGGGAGCTTCATTACTTAATCTATGGATCTGGTTTTTCAGGAAGTCCCTTGTGACAGTGTGACTGAGTCTGGACATCACTGGTATGAGTCTCTCAGGAAACAAAGAACTCAGAGATTGGTTTCCACAGACATTCTTCTTATGGGAAAGTTGTAAACATTTTATAGAATTTTAGAGCTAGAAGGGACCTTGTCCAGATATTCTAAATGGAAGCCTTTCCCATTTTGAGCTTCTCTGAACGCCTTCAAAGAAGGGATTTCATTTTACAGAAGAAACTGAGGGACAGAGAGGGCAACAGGCTTGCCCAAGGTGAGTTGGTGAGACAGAGCAGGGGCTCTGTCTTTTAATTGGATTGAATCCGATTAATTTAGGTCTCTTCCCATTGTTGCCTGTTGAGGAGCACCACTGATGGGGGCTCATCACCTGCTCTGTGTGGTGCATGGTGCTCATTCCTGCATGTGGAGCAGGGAGATAGAGAAATAAATAAGACACAGCCCCTGCCTTCATTAAGCTTGCAGTCTAGTCAAGAAGATAGGCCACATCTATACATGTTATTTATACAAGTTAGACTATGATCATTGCACATGGGAATTTCAAGCTGCTATATGAGCTGATGAGGGAGAGATCCCTGTGGGTAGGGGGATGTTGGGAAGATGTGTTTGAGCCTTAAACAACAGAGTTACACTCTCTGCAGAGTCATCGTTTGGGGCCTGCATCGGTGAAGGGTGGTGTCTGTGGGAGAGCAAATTGTCAGTTATTTTGACGTAGCTGCTGCTGTGTGGAGCGGTCAGGAGCGTGTAGCTGGGCTTCTTTCTCAGTCCTTCCAGAGACAAATGGGCTTAGCAGAGCTGCCTCGAGCTGAATGAGTCTTTCCCCATTCATCCCTACCCCAGGCTAGCAGACAGTCACCCCTCCTTCTTCTGACTGGAGTGTTGAGGGACCTAGGCAGGGTGGCTGCTCTAGTTGTCAGACACCTCATTTCAGGAAACATTAAGAGCCAGCATCTTTAATTCAATAGAATTGGTTTCCTTCTGTAATATTGTGCTAAGGACTTTGGCTCTGAGGTTACCAAGACAGGGCCTAGACCCAGTTCTCCTACAGTAAAGGACAGTGTGCGTAGATAACCCTGATAAGCAGGTGCTTGAATAATGGGAAATATTTGAAGGGAAGGAGGGGTGGTGTCAGGGAAGGGAGGTGGCATAAAAGCTGGGCTTTGAAGGAAGGGAGGGATTTCATCATCCAAAAATAAAGAGAATGGTCCATTCCGGTCACTGGGGTGAGAGGGTGAAGAGTAGTGGACAGAATCCGCACCTACAGCAGGGGCCTTTCCGCCCGGAGGGCTGGGTCTGTTTAGTCAGTTAGGGTTAGTCAGAAGAGCCGGGCCCTGCTTCTGGCCTGCTTCTGGCCCTGCGCCCACTCACTGAGACCCTTCTCGGTCTTGTGCTCCGACATCCTCTGTGTGCATCTGTTGGCCAGGTGCTCTCCACTCGGATTGTGGCCATGAAAGCTTCCCTCTGTAAGCTGTCCTCCTGCACCGTGGCCCGGGTCTGTGATTACCACGCCAAGCTCTTCCTGATCGCCATCAGCTCCACTTTGAAGTCGCTGCTGCGGCCTCACTTCCTGAACACTCCAGACAAGAGCCCCGGAGACCGGCTGACTGAAATCTGCACCAAGATCACCGACGTAGGTAGGGCTCATGCCACGTGCCCCTTTTCACCTTGTTCTCTGTGTCCTTCCCAAAAGGAATGTGATTATTAGAGTGGGTATAGTGCTTTAGACATTTATAAATACAAATCATCTTGTGATTGTACATTGATGATTATTATTATGATTACATCATATTTTCCCTTTTGACAAAGAAAAATAGTTAAGCAAAAACATCCACTCAGTGCAATAACCACATCTGAACATGTATGCAGCATTCTGCACCCATCGTCCCCCACCTCTGCCAAGGAGAGAGAGGGATGACTCCTCTTTTCTTCTGGATCAGGGCTGGTCTTTACATTGATTCAGAATTTGGCTTCATTTTAGTGTTCTTTCCTCGTGCGTTATTTTCATCATCGTGTGTATTGTTCAGAGACGCCCCCCATTTCCTCGGCTTCTCGTATTCCTCGTACCTTATTGCACAGGGACGCTCTGTGACATTCATGGAGCAGAGTTTATTTGGCCATTCCCCAGGCGGCAGATGCCCGCTCTGCTTCCAGTTCCGTGCCATCATAAAAAGGACTGCTGTGCACGGCTTGGCCTGAGAATGATGGGGCCATTCTCAGGGTGAGTCTAGTAGAGGAAATGCTGAGTCGAAGGGGATGAACAGTGTGTTCACTTTTCTCACCTAATTCTGAATTTGTTTTCCAGAACAGTTGGGTTGGCTCACAGCTCCACCAACAGTGCATTGGGTTGCCTGTTTTCCCACAGCCCCTGTAGGCCCCATGTGCAGTTTTGGTCGTCTTTGCCGATTTGCTCTCCCCCAGAGTTCTTTCACGTCGCACTGCCTCTCGTTGATGGGATAACACTTTATCGGGCATGGAGCCAGGCTCAGCCCCTCCTTCCTCCAGGTCAAGAGATTGGCAAGGAGGAGTTAGGAAACTCCCTCTCCAAACCTAGTCAGGATGTCTTCCTGGGAGACCAGAGTGTTGCCGAGGCCCGTTTGGGAAAATGGCCTCGCACCCGGGGCCCTGAGACAGGGACTCCTGCAGCCAGAAGGGGAGCTGTGGCCGTTAGGATGAGTGGGAGCTGGTTCTGGGGTGAGTGGGCAGTCTGGAAAGACTGGCTTCCCAGAGGAAGCTGTGCTCAAGCAGAGACAAACCAGGTGGCCCCCGGAGGCCTGGGTTCTGTGTGCTCGGGGCCCTTCCAGCTGGGACCTTTTCCGTTCTAAGGGCAGCTCCACATCTGGCGCCCCACGGTTCCCGTGGTTTAACTCTGCGCCTTGTTTCGATTGTAGATATTGACAAGGTGATGATCAATCTGAAGACAGAAGAGTTTGTGCTGGAGATGACGACCCTGCAGTCCCTGCAGCAGCTCATCCAGTGGGTGGGAGACTTTGTGCTCTACCTCTTGGCCAGCCTGCCCAACCAGGTGAGGATCTCCTCGCCTCCCCGCTCTCTTCCAGGGCGGGCAGAGGGTCAGGAGGTTGTCTGAGCCTGGCGTCTCCTCCTCTCCTCTTCCTTCTACACTTGATGCTTTTACCATCAAGGTGGCATAGGATGGCTTAAACTGACGTGTTTTTAGTGCTTTATGGTCATAAAGCTTCTTCACATCTATGTTCTTTGGAAAAATTTTTTCTAGTTAACGAGGATTTATTTTTCTCTCTTTCATACCTTCCCTCCCCCACTTGAAAAAAGAAAAAGAGAAACAAAACCCTTGTCACAAATATGAATAATCAAACAAAACAAATTTCCACATTGGCGACGTCCAAAAAAAATGTTTTGTCCTGCACCTTGAGTCCATCACCTCTCTGTCGGGGTGGGTATCACGCTACATTATCTGTGCTCTGGAATCATGGCTGGTCATTGCACAGATCAGCATTCTTAAGTCTTTCTATGGTCTGGTTCTGCCTGCTTCACTCTGCATCAGTTCACACAGGTCTTCCCAGGTTTTGACAGTAGCATTCCCTCACGTTCATAAACCGTATCTTGTTCAGCCATTCTCTGGTTGTTGGGGACCCCTCCCCCCTTACCTTACGGTTCCTTACCGTTACAAAAAGAGCAGCTATAAACACTTTGGGGTGTGTGGATCCTTTCCCTCTTTCTTTGCTCCCTTTGGGAGTTTAAACTTAGTAAAGGCTTCGCATATATTTACTTGGTCCTCCTTAAAGACTTATACGGTTGATATAAATGGTCTTCATTTGACAGATGATGATAACCATGCCTATCTTTGAAGTGTCTTAAGGTTTACACAGTACCCTTTTCACAATATTGCCCTTTGAGGTAGATTGTACATTTATATTGTTAACTATAACTGGTCAAAATCAAAATAATAATTATTATTAAGCCCATTTTCCAGGTGAGGTAGCGGAGGCTCAGAGAATCCAATGACTTGACCAAGGACGCACAGTGAGTGGGTGGAAGACTGTAGCATTCCCAACACTTTTGTCTTCATGCCTCGCTCCTGTGGCCTGGGCTCATCTTTTTAAAATCCGAGTTTGTCTCGGTACGGGTCTTCAGACTTTCATTCTTTAGAAGGGGCCCGTGTTGGCCCCGAGGGGCAGCTGCAGCGGGTCTCTGCCTCCCTCCCCTCCGCGGCCAGACCCGGTGTCACTTACCAGTCTCATCTGCGCAGGCTTCTCACGCCCAGCCCTGCTTGCCGTTGGCACGGCCAGTCGCATTTCCTCTCACCTGACTGCTGTGGTAGACCTTGTTCACAGGTAGTTGTTTGTGTGTTAGACTGTGAGCTCCTGGAGGGCAGGACCTGTGCTTGGCCTTCCTCTCTGTCCCCAGTGCCCAGTGCAGTGCTCAGTACGTAGCAGGCCCTTGATAAATGCCGACTGGCTGACTGCCGGGCCTCCGAGCTCGCTGTCCTCCACCCACGTGCCAGATTGAGAATCCTGAAGCATGGATCTCAAGAAGTTCAGGTGGCTCCCTCTGCTTCTAGGAGCAGATGTTTGACATTTAAAGCCCTTCAGTCTGATTCCAAACGCCCTGCCCGGACCGATTTCACATGGCTTTCCTTCACTTGTTCTGCCTCACAGCAGACTGGCCTGCTGGCTGTCCTCTCCCACCCCCTGCCATTGCACAGGCCCTCTACTCCCTGACTCCCCAGGTCCCCCCCTGCCCCCTGACCTGATACTTTACCTCCTCGTCTCCACCTCTCGGAATCCCAAGTTCCCTTCAGGATGCCTTCGCTGGTCCCTGCATTTGTCAGGGTTTCTGTCCCTCATGGTTACTTTGTATTTACTCTGAATATATTTTGTATTTTCTTATCGATGTATAATGTTGTCTCTCCCCAGTAGAATGAGAGCTCCTTGAGGGCAGGGAACTCTTGGTTTTTTTGACCTTTGTATCTCCAGCACCTGGCACAGTGCCTAGCACACAGTGGATACATGAGTCCTTGTTGAGTTAAGTTTCCAACCCTCCTAGACCCCCTTGTTTTGCAGAAGGTCCTCCTCCACATTTCTCATCCGTTCTCCCCCAATCGAGGGCACCTATCACAGCATGGCCAGCATAGATGGACGTGGAGTGATCATCTGAAGTTGTTCCATGTGATTGGGATTTGGGTTCAGAATAGCGGTTCCCTTATCCTCAGGACAAGCCAGGAGCTTAGAACAAGAAGGAGGTGCTCTTCTGGCTGAGAGTGCCCTGCTCCACCAGCTCCGTCGTAACGGTCACGTTATAGCTGCAGGCCAGACTTGGCATCTCTGCAGAATTCCTCATCTGCTTCTGCCTTTTCTCCAGGGGGTCTTGATGGCATATAAGAATGGAAGGAAGGTGAAACAGGTTTCTTCCCAAGAGTCTCCTTTCTTAATATAGAATGCCACCCTGCCCCACCCCCCTTTTCTTACCTGTTGGGCTCTTTGGAGAAGATACGCATGTCCACAGTGATACTCCAGGTTACATTTCGCCACACACTGATCTCTGGCTCACATTGCCTTTTAGTTATACTTTGTGCTTTTGTCTGGGGCGGCGTCTGAGGTTGTGGGTGTTAGCGCTGCTTCTTGGATTCTGTCTCCTGGGAATTTGGGGACTTCTCCATTGCAGTCTTCCTGCATGGTCACTTTTCAGGGCAGCTAAGTGGCACAGTGGATAGAGCTGTGGCCTTGGAGTCAGGAGGACCTGAGTTCAAATCTGGCCTCAGATGCTTGACACTTAGTAGCTGTGTGACCCTGGGTGAGTCACTTAATCGCCTCTGAGGCCAAATGTGTTTCCAAACCAGTATGCCCCTTTCCTGACCCTACATGATCGCTTTTCTCTGTAGTATCTGGCTTGGGGGGCAGATAGATGGCACAGTGGATAGAGCACCGGCCCTGGATTCAGGAACACCTGAGTTCAATTCTGGCCTCAGATACTTGACACTTAGTAGCTGTGTGACCCTGGGCGAGTCACTTAATCCCATTGCTTTGCCAAAAATAAAAAAATAAAACACTGTGAAGTATCAGGCTTGGTAGATGGTTCCTTTTCAGTTTTAAGCCCTTTGGATTCATTTTATAAGACTTCGCACAAATACATTTTTACCAGCCCTCCTTAAGGCTGCTCTCTCCGATGTGACCTTCTTACACTTTTGGCTTTCCTTGGCAGTGGTGATGAAAAGGACACCTGCCCACGGTTTCTGCCCTTCCTGTTCAGTGTTCTCTAGGTCCCTGTGGGCAGTACTGTTTGTCACCACATGAGTCACATGATTTCACCTACCCAGGTCTGACAGGTCTTGGGAAGTTCTCTGCCACGTCTCAGATATAGGCCTCACAGTCTCTCAGGCCAGCGAAGGCTGTCTTAGCCCCCTTCAGCGGGGAGTCGCCAAGTACCACTATCCATCCACTCCCAAAAGGGCAGTGACAGGCTTCAGGGAGACTCGCAGCTAATGTCGCCTTTTTGATCCCACCAGGGCTCTCCTGTGCGCCCAGGCCACAGCTTTTTGCGCGACGGGGCTTCCCTGGGGACACTTCGAGAATTGATGGTCGTTATTCGGATCTGGGGCCTGCTGAAGCCAAGCTGCCTGCCAATTTACACGGCCACCTCTGACACCCAGGACAGCATGTCTCTCCTCTTCCGGCTGCTGACAAAGCTCTGGCTCTGCTGTAAGCAACGCCCTGAGACCGGGAAACTCTTCCTCTAAGGGCGGGGGAGGTGGGAGGATTAGCGACGTCGTGGCCCAGGAGGCTGAGGCTTGGTCTGCCACTCTGAGAAAGCCACGGGAGCTTTACTGCTCACACGTTCTGCACAGCTGAAGAGAAGCGTGGCAGATGGTGGCGTCTGTCAAACGTGTTTGACGTGGGGCTGATTGTGCTTTTTAAGAACAAGTGAAATCATAGAATGGGCTCAGAAGCCAGGATGTTCAGAGTTAGAAGAGATCACGCGTGTGCACAATGATAATAATGATGACCAGCATTTAGATAGCGCCGAGCCCTTTTACAAGTGTCATTTCATCACAGCCACCCAGGGAGGAGGTGCCATTATGAGCCCCATTTTACAACAGAGGTGAAGCGTTTTGTCCAGGGTCACAGAACTGGCCGGTGTGTCAGGCAGGATTCAGGCTCGTGTCCTCTCAGCTCTGAGGGCAGCCTTCTCTCCGCCTGGCTGCCTCCTGCACAGTTAGGAGATGGTGGTCACATATGACAGTCAGGATCCCAAAAGATCTCACCAGGCTAGAATGGTGGACTCGATCAAATAATACGAACTTCAGTATGGATAAATGTTAAATCCATAGCTGCCCAGACACAGGATGAGGGATGTGGGACTAGGCCTCGGGTCCTGGGAAGGAGAACCAGCATCTCTAGAGGGCTGTAAGTTCCCTTGAAGTCAGCAGCATCCTGGGGCGGCCACAGAGAGGCTGGGGCTAGAAGGGCATCGGGCCCCCCTCCAGAGGCTTGTTGCCCTCAGTTCTGGGCACCCCAGTTTAGAAGGCTGTCGATCAGCTGGAGCGTGCCCACAGGAGGCCAATCAAGGTGGTGAAGGGCCTCGTGATCGTCCTGCACAAAGATCGGCTGAGACCAGGCAGGCCTCGCCTAGAGAAGAGAAGACTTGGGTGGGAGGGTCTGGCAGGTAGACGAGTCATCGTCAGGAGGAGGATCTAGACCTGTTTTGCTTTGCAGAAGGTTAGGCCCAATTTCCCAACAATTAGAATTTTCTCAAAGTGGAATGAGCTGCCCCAGGGGGTCATGAATTCCCTGTCCCTGGAGCAGAAGCTGTTATCACAGGGCTTCCTCTTCAGGTGGGTGGGAATGTCAGGGCTGCCATCATCACACTGGCAGGGACCTGGGAGAGCCTCTGAAATGATGGATAGTCAGAGAAGGAGGGGCAGTGACTCGTCTAAGGTCATGCAGGTGGCAGAGTCAGCATCTTTGTAGAGGGGGAGTTCTGAGATTGAGGTGAGACCAGAGACTAGAATGGCAGAGCCTGAAGGGGCTTGAGAGCCAAGGCTTTGGATAACTGTTAGGTTAGCCCTTCATTTTGTGGACCCCAGAAGGGAGCAAACTTGCTCAAGTCAGTGTCAGGGTCAGTCTCTGGATCACATAAGTGAATGAAAGCATTTATTAAATGCTTACTGTGTACCAGGCACAGTACCGATAGCTGGGGCTGCAGGTGCAAGCAAGCAACATGGTCCCTGCCCTCAAAGGACTTCCATCTCATGGGAGAAGACAGTGCATTAAGGGAGCTGGGGGTGCGTGTAATGACACGGTTTGTCCAGGAAGCATCATGGAGACCCGACTGTGGGCAGAATAAGGTAGCAGTTCCCCTCCCGGAGCCCAAGGACCCGGGTTAGGGGGAGGAGGAGGGTGGCCTGGTGTGGAAGGAACAGAAGCATCACAGAGTGTTCAGTCGGTGCATGACATTGGGGTGGGCTCAGGAGAATGCTCCTCTCTGTCCCCCAGCCCCCTGGCTCAGTCTGCTGTCTCTGGGGACTCTGCTGGGCACTGTACAGCTAAGGGAGGTGCTTACAGTGGTGCTTTGGGATGCATAGGTACAGATTCTTGGGGTGCTGTGGAAGGACAGCTCTGCTGGGGTCACAAAGCCCTGCTTTCCTCCTCCTCGTCCTTCTCCTCCTCCCCCTCCTTCTCCTCCTCCTCCTCCTCCTCGTCCTCCTCCTCCTCGTCCTCCTCCTCCTCGTCCTCCTCCTCCTCCGTCCTCCTCCTCCTCGCCCTCCTCCTTTCTCCTCGCCCTCCTCCTCTTTGTCCTCCTCCCCTCCTCCCCTCCTCCTCCCTCCTCCTCCTCCTCCTCCTCCTCCCCTCCTCCTCCTCCTCTCCCTCCTCCTCCTCCCCACTGCTGCCACTGCTGCTAACAGATCGAGCACCAGAGCCCCATTTCCTCGCAGGCCTGGGGAAGAAGTTCTTGCTTCCTGCCGTAACCCGTCTCTCCCTTCTCTAGGTCGGGATGAGAACCACCCCTCGGAGCCCGACGAGACCCTTATCGATGAGTGCTGCCTCCTCCCGAGCCAACTGCTCATCCCCAGCCTGGACTGGCTGCCCGTCAGTGACGGCATCATCAGCAGACTCCAGAGCAAGCAGCTGGTACGGCTCCAGTTTGGGAAGGCTCCCGGGTTGCTCGGCTATGCCGGCACGCCGCCCTTCGAGATCTTCGCCAGGTAGGGGCGTGCAGAGGTGGTGGTGTCACCTGGGGACTCCCTGGGAGAAGTGAGCAAATGTGTTCTGTGTGGCTGTGGGGGCTGGGGCGTGCTCAGGTGATGGCGGGGAGATTAGGAGCAGCATGCTGCCCCCAGCGCCCTCTGCAGACGGGCAGGCCATGCTGGAGGACTCCCAGCATCCCAGGATCCCTGCAGGCCAAGAACCCCCTGCGCAGCATCCATGGCAGCTTGGGTACCCAGTGCAGGGCCGGGAGCTCCCCAGCACTGCAGGCAGCCCAGCACTCTGCGTGCAACTCGTGGGGAAGAAGGCTTTCCTTCGGGTGAGCTGACATCTGCAGAGCAGGGACGCTGGAGGGTGAGCGTGCTGACCCAGAGGTTCTATTTCCATAACTATTTCAGTGTAACTGGCTTCCTTCAGAATCCCACATATTTTATTTTGTACATTTAAATGCATGATCCTGAGAAAGGGAACAGAACCTCGGCTTCCCCAGACCGAGAGGCTGAGAACCTCTGCTGTCAAGGTTCAAGCTCTGGGACAGTCTGGGATTTCAGGGGAGGGCCCAGAGTGGGTCCCTTCTTCCTTCTCTGCCTCAGTTTCCTCAAATGTATGAAGATGGGCATGATGCCGGCATTCCCAGAGAGCTTTTTAGAGGCCTCTAGAAAGAGGTAGAAGGAGTGGGGGTGGGAATATTAAGCACCTACTATGTGCCAGGCACTGTGATAGGTGCTGTACAAATGTTACATCATCTGGTCCTGTTTCTATTATTGTCACTGTCCTCGCCGTTCCGAGGAGCACGCCTCCAGACCCTTCCTGTGGGCCTGCTCCCCATTTTCCCTGATTCTCGTTCTCCTTCTGTGTTCAGAGCCCCTGGGCAGGCGAAGATCGACCACCTCAGGAGGCTGCACTTAGGGGCGCACCCCACTGAGGAATGCAAATCCTGTACCCGGTGAGTCCCCGCTGGGATCCTGAGAGCCGTGATCCCACCCCGGCACATGGGGCTCAGCCAGACCTGGGTTGGAATTCCCCCTGAAGTCGCTAGTTGTATGAACATGGGCAGTCCTTCCCACCTAGGATCAGATGAGATCCGTAGGGAAGCCAGTGGCCCCTGCTGTCCAGCTCTCCTTCTGCCTGCCCTGGGCCACCCTCTCCATTTTCAGACACTTGTGAAGAGAAGGGGCCCTCTCTGTCTGCTTGTATCCTGCCCCATTGCTCTTGATCTCTGCTCTTTTGGATGGAGCAGGCCTTCCCCGCTGTCCGTGCCCCCCGTCCCTTCTCCTCCTCAGCCTGCCTTGACGTTGTTAGAAGACACGATGACAGGTCAGATTTCTGTAGCGCCTTGAAGCCTTATGAAGGGCTTTTCCTGCTGCTGGGAGGTGCTGAATGTAGATCGTATTGCTCCCATTTTGCAGATGGGGAAAGTGAAAGCTTCAGCATCGTACTCCCGGGTGCAGCCATGATTTGAAGCTGGCACAGCTCTGCCAGTTCCGCTGAGCCATGCGCCCTGTTAGCGGTTCCCTTCATTTCTGTCACAACCCCACTCTTCCAGGGGCTGGCCCCCAAGGTTCTCATCCTGCTGCGTTCCCTTCCTCCCAGGTGTGGCTGTGTCACTGTGCTCAGATCCCCCCACAAAGCAACGGCAGTGAAGCAGTGGGAACAGCGCTGGACCAAGAACTGTTTGTGCGGGGGCCTGTGGCGTAGGATGCCCACCAGCTACTCGTGATCGGGTCCTGCCCTGGCCCGGTCCAGTTGCCCCCAAGGGGCCCTGCAGGAGAGGGCTTATCTTCATGGAGTCTGCAGACAGCATCTTTCAGCCTGGCGTCTTGTAAATATGTTTGTAATGTGCTCTGTAAAGAAAAAAAATCCCTTTGTGATTTCTAATCTTCCTCCCTGATGTCGTAGGCCAGTGTTTGTCATGGTTCGGTCAAGAATACCTCCCTTCCCCCAACAGAAAAGAAAAATTCTGCTTTGGGGAAACCGAAGTGAGGGGAAGGAGGGAGCCCATCCATGACCCAGATGCTGCCCTCAGTGTAGAGGGGCTTGGAGCATCCTGGAGCCCAGGCTGGCTCTGCCACACCATGCTGGGTGACTTTGGGGGAGTGACTCCCCCTTTCTGGGCCTGAGTTTTCTCATCCTTAAAGTGAGGACTTGGACTGGATGGTCTATGAAGGCCTCGGTTAGTAGGCTGAGGTCATAGGATCATGGGAAGGTACAGGCCCAGTGTTCTCTATGCTTAAGTTCCTTCCCAGCTCTGAGCACCCTCCCCACTCTGGTCGCCTCCTCAAGGACCAAACGTTCCCTGTCCATGTGGAGGGATGGTCTGTGAGAGCAGACTCCTCTCGGATCCGGAGCTGGAAGGGGCCTCGGAAGCCGTCTCTCCTGCCTGTCTCATTTTACAAATAAGGACTTGGAGACGCAGGGAGGAATACATGTCAGAGGTGGGGTTAGAGCGCGGGGCCAGCCCCACGCATGGCCTTCCACATCATGCTGCCGTGACTCTGGGCTGCTCTGCCAGCAGGGCCATCAGCAGCCTGGCGTTGGTCAGAGGCAGGCCAGATGTGCTTTGTTTTGGAAGAGCTCTTTTCACTGGGGTTCTGAGTCTAAATCTACTTTAACTACAGGGCCCTCTCCCTGAAAGAATTTCATTCCAAAATTTTTTATCCCTGATAAAGGATAAAACGATAATAGTGCTTGCTTAAGGTTTAGGACAGCTGGTAGAATCCCATACACTGGCCAATTGCTTCTGCAGCCTTTCCTGCATTTAAGATGTCCTGAGAGGCAGCACAGCATCGTGGAGAGTGAGCTAGCCTCAGCCAGGAAGGCCTGGGTTCGGATCCTGACTGGCACGTGCTGGCCACATGACTCTGGGCAAGTCACCGACCTCCTCCTTCAGTGACCCAGGCAACTCGTATGAGGGGCGGATCTGGGGCCATCAGCATTAGGCGGGGGAGCTCCCTCACTTTGAATTCGCCCTGCTAGTGAAATCACAGTGGCGGTCTTCTCCCAAATGCCATATTGTCTAGGCTGTTTGAGAGACAGTTATTAATCTCCTGCTATGTACCAGAAGTGGGGCTAGGCACTAAAGATGTGTTGGAACCCGGCCACGCTGATGGGACGCCGGCCTGCTGTCATCCTCATCCACAGGCTTTTCCCATTGGCGTTCTGGTGTCGTGGGCCTCCTTGGCAGTCAGTCTGATGACACCAAATACAGTAATGTGTGTGTGTATGTGAATATGTGCATACAGACGTGTAGTTAGAATATTTGTTTTTTTAAAGAAGTTCACCCAGAAGAAGAAGCCCAGCCTTAAAGTTGCATTCTTTCCCCTCGTCCCAACAGCAAGGGAGCCCTCCCTGTTAGTGGTACCTAAGGAGCGCTGAGTTCCCGGCCCACATAGAGCTACTTTCCCACTTACGTCTCAGCATCCAGGGGATGAGCCCGTGATCTCAAGGCTCAGTCCGTTGCTCTCCACGAGATTGCATCCCACTTGGGTCAGTGAGAGCATCTGCAGTCCCTGAAATCCTGCCCGGATGGCTCCTGCTTGGCCGTGGAGGTAAAGAGTCCGAAAGCTCTGTGTGCCCGTCTTTCTCTCCTGGGGGAGGTCACTGGGGGGGTTTGGCCACATCTCCCTGACCCGTGGACAGACATGCTCCAGATCTGCTCCTCTCCTTGCCAGGCTCTTCAGGGAGTGTGGGGGGCAGGGGAGGAGGGGCTCATTCCTAAGTGAGCATCAAAGCCTCACGTTAGCCTGAGGGCTCTCCACCACCTGCTGGGGAAAACAATTTTCTAACTTGGGGAAGCTTAATTGGAAACAAAAGGAAAGGGGGAGCTTGCTCTGAAGCTGTTGAGGATGCAGATGAGGCAGTTGAAAACTCTGTCTCTTGAGGGGTGGGTTTGAGGGAGACTCTGAGGAAACAAGGCGACCTTGTTTGTGCAGATTAGGGGCCAGTGAATGATAACCTGGCTGATGAGTGCCTGTTCTCTACATGCAGCACCTGCTGCCGGGTGCAGAAGGACAAAAAGGGAAAGCCTGGAATCCTGGAACATAAGCACTCTTTGGATTCTGTCAGAGGGCCACACTTGAGGGCTTAGAGGGCCACCTGTGGTTTCAAGGCGGCGGGTTCCCCAGCCCTGGTCTAGAATGTCAGACACAGGTGGGGCCTTCACCCTAAGTTCCTTTTTATTACTATGAACTTGGCAAATGTCAACTAACATGGACATTTTTTCTGTACAAAATACGACAGAAGGCAGCTGCATATAGAACCGTGAGTCTCCACTATGTATGGCTTATTTGTAAAATAGACATTTCAGATTTTATATGGTAGTTCCAACACTGCCGTGTCTGTCTGTGTCTCCTTTTGAATCTCCTGCTTTCTTCTGTTTACTTTGAAATGATCAGATCTCCTCCTTTCCTCTAACTCTTCCTTTAACCTCCCCCCAAAGTCTTCATGTGGAAGTACACACTGTCTGAACATGGACTGTGCACCCTAGGGGATCACCTTTCCGCCCACAACAGGAGGCCGGCTTCATCAGTCTTAAGGAGTTCTTCCTGATTGGTCATAGATCAACTGGTTCTGTGTTGCTGATTACTCCCACCAGTAATATTCACCGTGTTGCCTTTTGGGTGACTCATAAGTAATTCTTTGGACATTTTGTATTGCATGAGTCATGGCCGTATTCAGAAAATTGTTGATTTAAAAAGATGAGTCTTTCACAGAGAAGCTTGGGATTATGAAAAACACTGGGAAATTTCCAGGCAGTCCAACTCGCTCTCTTCCATTCAATTCTGGGCCCAGTTTCTTGTTCATTCAGATGTTCAAAAGTATCTGAAAGAGGGGTAGACGACCAACACTCAGGAAAAATCATGGGCCTTAATTACCTCCCCCCCCCAAAAGAAAACAACTGAAAGAATATCAGGTTTGCACCAGTAACTGCCAGCTCATATGTTTATTTTCCCTATAAAATATTATTATTATTATTTTTGCTTTTAGGCAATTGGGGTTAAGTGACTTGCCCAAGGGCACACAGCTAGTAAGTGTCAAGTGTTTTGTCTGAGGCCGGATTTGAACTCAGTTCCTCCCTGACTTCAGGGCCGATGCTCTATCCACTGCACCACCTAGCTGCCCCCTCTGTAAAATATTATTAAGAGTAATATGCTCACGTGTTGAGTGCATCTTTGATGAAGGTGTAACCTGGGTTTCAAGCCAGGGGTATCTTGTATGCTGCTGCTTGCCTACGATGCTGGCTTGGTTCAGAGCATAATAAAAACTCTGCATGACTTTGTGAAGGGTGCAAAATTAGTGGGAGAAACATTTGGAGGGAAAAAAAGACTTTGGAAGATAGCAGACACATAGAGGAGCCGCCCTCTACTTGATTTCCAGCTTACCTCCTTAGAGACTTTGGAGAATTTAACCAGGAGTAGAGGTAGGGGTAAGATTTGAGTCCTTTCTTTTCTTCTAAGAGATATTTCACCTCTAATGGGGACATACACTCACTCTCTATTTTCTGATATATTTTATTCTGCACAGCACCCCAGATTTCTGTTTGCTAGCTGCTTGGATATCTAATTATTTGCTATTTGGGATGGTCTTTTGTGTAATGTATTTGGAAGAAAAGGGACAAATCAGTGGATATAAGCTTGGGGTACCCTCCCCCTCTTTAAGAGACAGCCAGGAAAGCAGCTTAAACCAAAAAATCATGTTCCTAGACCAGAAATACTTTGAGAGGCAGATAGGTATAATTCTAGATAAGTACCCCTTCACAGAAGAGAACAGTTTCCAGTCTTACGCTCGTTTTCTGGCTCCTCAGCAGACCAGACCTGAACTTTCTCTAGAGAGGGGTGGACAGGTTTCCAGAGATATCTGTCAGTGTTTCCCTGTGGGCTATATTTAGAGAATTCATGCTGACATATACATCTCACTTGGGACATACCTTACAAAGGCATACAAAGGCAATAGGCAGGCTTTCACAAACCGTATTAAACCAAAACAGATCTTTACAGTTACAGCATTAACTGAAAGGCACAGAGTATATGTAGTCTCACTAGGATTACGGTTGGCTTTAAAAAGCATTTGATTTGATAGAACAAAATGTTTTCTTAAAAACTTTCATTCAATAAAGTGTCCCCCATGCAGATGTTATAAGTGTACAAGGTTCTTGGAAAGATGTAAAACAGAGTTGACTTTTGAGCCATCCCTAAGCTATCACCGAGACCCTTCACACTGCTAGGATTGCATCAGCCAGAACGCCCATCTGCCTCTGAAGTTGCTTCCAGATTGTTTTTGCTTCGCTGAATTGTTGCTGTCTGTTGAGACTCTGATTAACTGCTACCATCTGGTTGCTAAGCTGCTGCTTCTTCACAGGAAATATTTACAGTTCTTTTGGGAGACGGCCTGTGCCTCACACTATTTCAGCTCTTATGTGAGTTAGGCCTACAGCTGAACCCGGTTAGCACAGCAAAGAGTCTCTCGGGACAAGTCTGTCTTTACAGCCTTGTTCCCTCTCGGTGGTAACTCCTCCAGGCTGCTTACTCTTTGAGTTGGGGTGAGTATGTAATACTCACTCTGAGGCTACTCTCCCGACCCACTCTTACACTTGAGGATTGTGTCCTCAGAAGGACAGCTGCTGCTTTGGGTTCTAGGGGTAACCCTTGTTGGCCATACTTTTTTTTTTCTTATTAGGCAATCAGAAATTTAATAATAAAGATTTGACACTGGTTCCTGAGCCCCCACGAGTGTGCTTCCTATTAGTAATAAGCCAATAGATGCAGTGAACTTTCAGAGGAATTGCTAAGATTGTATAGGTACAGATAGGTACAGAACATTCCCTTCAAAGCCTCTCCCAGGTATGTACAGTGGAAAGAGTGGGCTCATCCTTGAATACAATGGGAGTAAGGCACGTATGTAGGATACACAGCCGGCAGGGAGTAAGTTAGCTAGTTGTTGTCTTAAGTATTGGACAATATACTTAACCTAGCATTGTCCCTCGGTCCGTAGGGATCGCATTCCATGAAGCTGCTGCTTCACTCAGGCCATTATCTTTCTGCATCCATTTGCCCCTGGTATGTTTCTCAGTTCTTGATCCAGGTGCTTCTCTTACCACCAGCAGCCGCCCCTCTTGGATGCCTGCAGCTCCTCCAGTAACCGGTATTGCTGCGGCCATTGAAACCCTTTGAAACTCCCAAGCTTGTTGGCTGGCCACATCCACCTTGAGGCTGCTGCTCTGTCACCTGTCCGTGGAAGGAGATACAAAAGACAACCCCAGCCCACGCTCAGAATTTCCTAGTGGGACACAGGCTCTAGCTGCCCTGTGCACCATGAAGGCTAGGTAAAGGAGAATGGAACCCATTGGCTGTCCCCTCCTGGTTTGAGGGACCAGTCCTGCCTCACTCACTACTGAAAAGGAAAGGCTTTGGGAGCCCAGAAACTTGCTTTTGTAAAGCCCTTGGGTCATCAGCTCTTCCAGCTCAGCAGCCTCGGTACCTGTGGGAAGAGTGGCATACTCAGGAGTATTGTCGTCATCATTTGTCCTTCGTTCTCGAAGAGGACCGTGACATCAGAAAGGTGATGCCGTGACATGGAAATGAATTAGACTTAATTGAGGGAGGGCCATGAAAGTCACCAGCCTCACTTTCCCCTCCAGAGCCATCTGGGTCCAGTGGCCAGATATAGACCAGGTCAAGTAGAGATGGCCCTGGATGCACTGAGTAGTATAATGTTTAGGAGGAAAATGTGGGGTACGTGAGTGGCAAGAAACAGCTCACCTCTCTGGGCCCGTAGTACAACCCTCTCAGCCATGCATGGGCGGAAGGAGGCTCCCCAGAAAATGTTTGCACGTGGTCTGTTTGACCTACCAGGAAGGACAAATCAGGGCGTGCTCCATGCTCCAATTACAAGTAAATTCTTTTCAGCTCCCTGTCAATTGCCTGGAGCTACAATGTTTGAGGGGTGTGTGGGTGGGGAGGAGCTGGTGTCCTTTGCGCCATATTCCAGAAACTAAACCCATGTCACTGCCTTCCTCATAGCTGTGGTGTGGTGGTTCTGGGTTTGGGGGAGAACATTCCAGGCATAAGCCTAGGTCTGAAGGCAGAAAGGGTAGGAAAGCCTTGAGGAATGGCCAGTAGTCAGGTTTGCCCGGAGCTTAGTGTCCAGAGAAAAGGCTGGAAGGATGGGGCGGAGAGAGACGGTGCTGAGCCCCTGTTGTCAGGCAACAAGGTTTGGCCCTTTACCCATGAC